TTGCAAGTTTGCTCTTTGAAAAGCAATTAAGTTTTATGTGTAATATAAAACCAGAATATACTACATTGCATACGTAATATAACAACATGCTTCCAAAATACATTACTTTCAAGTGTTTTTTAACATAGGTTTTTTAATGCATATAAATTCTAGGTTTCATGTGAAGGTCTCTTGCTATTAACAAGTCTTCACCAAGACTGGTAACAGCAGCGGCAACTGCCGCTAGCTGCAGACAAGGGCAGAATGGCTGTTGGGAGATCATATAAACTGTCAATATCTTTCAGGGTGGAGGATTATGGCAGCACTCAAATAACCTATAAACACAATATAATAGATTGTGAGCACTTGAACTGTAAAATTGAGCAAATATTCAAGAACAAAGCTTCCCTGCTTAGACTAAACTACAGTAACTTTGGGCCTTAGAAAGAAAGACCATGTTGAATTAGAAGGAAAAACGAGATCTCATCACTGGATCATGATGCACAGAAAGTTTGCGCACCACTCAAGTTTTCTTTGACTAAATTATGTCTACTGACAGAAGCATTGAATGGTGATTAGCAGCTGGCTAAATCAGATCCTGCTCTCATACTTTCTTGGGTAAGCCTTGTTATAGAAGGAATCTGACTTCACTAGGGCAAAATTAATCTGCGCCTCTTCCTAAAACAGGCTCAAGTTTCTTTGAAGTTGTTACTGTAGGGAAGCTGCTGTGCTTTAAGTCAAGTATTTTAAGAAATGGTGTGCTGCAAAATTTGAAGTGGCTTTGGTTTAGTAAGTGTATACATGCACCTTTAAATTTAATTTAGCCCAATACCATTCTCCAGCAACATGAGCTGGGCTGAGATAAATCCATAGACATGGCAAAACAGAACTTTACAGTGCCTTAGAATTTGTGTTTATAACAATCTAACTGCCAAAGTGTTAACATTTTCTTGGGTAGACAAGGCCCACAGGGTTTCATGCACCCTCAGAAACATGCCTGGGTGCCTGGCATATTATAAAGGGCAGTTACATTAAGCAGGGGGGTGTGCCCTTGTCCCATAGCTGAAAGCAACACAATCTAAACTACATGTGAAGTTACAAGAGCAGGTAAAGACCATGCATTTCTTTCCCAAAAGGACTTTGCCAGACGTTTGGAACAAGGAAAAGGCCAAAGTCTGTGTAACAAACTGGCACTTACGTTTTAAAGAGGCTGTAGAAAGGAAGGATCCAAGTCAGTATAATGAATGTGTTTCCATCCCAAGGAAGCCAGTGCTGTGCCATATGATTGGCAGAAGTGACAAATACAGCTGTGCTGACAACTAAGAAACTGCAAACCACACAACTGTGTGGTGACTGGAAAAAAGCTCAAAGACCTATGGCTAGCAACCTTCTTACACAGCATTCAAGAGAGCGCTGCATAATTTATAGAAGAAAAAAGAGTTAAGGCCTATTAGAATCAGAGCTCTGAAAACTTTGGGTAAACAGAGATGGCACAAAGAAATTTTTATATGTTTACACATACGTGAAAGTCATAAATCATAAACTTAATAGCTTCAGATTCATTAAATATTCAGCAAAATGATCAAGCGCTCAAAATGTTCCTATCATCCAGTGAAATATACAGCATCTGCTCGGCATTTACAAGGATTATCTATTTTTTTCAGCAAAAAATCATTAGCCCTTTAAAGCAATTCTGCTGAAAGGGAGGACAGAAAGCTGAAATATTAGCCTTTTGCTTGTTTTGAAATCATAACCGTGCTGACTATAAAGCTTGTTGGCATTTTATAGGCAGCTGGAATGACTGCACTATACATTATACCGCCTTTAAGAGTATCTTTCTCAACACAGAGTTATGAATAACAGGATGTTTACACTACTTACCTCAAGTGAGATCAAAACATTCCTACCATCACTGTAAACATTTTGAAGAAATAGATCATCACAGAACGCATCTTTGTGTCACAGAGAGTGTCAGAGAAGAGAGCTCGTATAATTGAGCAGTGAAGCACAGCACCTTCCAGTTCAAGTGAACAGTGGGCAAATGATGCAGTTTTTTCTTCTCAGTTTCATTTTCTCAGTTTATTCAGAAAGGCAATTTCTTTTGTTTGCTGCTAAAGCAGAGGGCTCACTCTCTCTTTGCTTGTCTCCCTTTTCTCCTGATTAGAATCATACATGTAAGACATGGATGTAATTTCCCATCTTATTTTTAAACACTAACAAATTAGTGGGCTTTTTGAAATCCTTTGGTTTCTAGAACGCATCATCCCACTGGTTTATCAAAGACAGGATTTATGCCTTCTGTAATGTCTTAGAACATGTGATTCTGCTAAAGGAAATACTATTCATGTACTATGCCAATACTGGCTTGCAGTGAAAAAAGAGTGGTTACCTCTTAGGCAGTGGGGAAAAAAAAACCAGACATTAGCCTTATGGGTACCTATACACCCCCACCAGACTTGCATTCATTGCATGCAATCAACCGGGGGGCAGACAGTATTAAATGGAGTTGTAAGAGATCATGCTTGTGCTTTCAAGTATTAAGCTAGCCATACACCATACACGAGTTAGGCAAGAACCTGGTTACCAGCCATTCTGTTCTTCTGAAGGTATCTGTGCGACAGTGCACTCACACTCGCCTCAGCACTGACAGGTCTACGTAAGCGAGGGAGTGCTGTCCTTTAAGCTCATTAAGCATAAGCCAGAGTGGTTACAAATACTGCCTGCTCTCTATTCTACTTTGTTTCTGCTACTGGTATCAAAACCAAACAAGCACAAGTTCCTAGAAGCATGACACCTTTTCTTAGCTTCAGGCTGCTTGCTTTTATGCTTGTTACAATTTCAAATCAGCCTATGCAACTGATTTAAGTCAGTTTAAAGTCTCTTCACCTATGGATTAAAAACAACAAGGACACTTGAATAATGATTTCACAACACTTTCCTGATTAACCATTAATGCCCAGATTAAATTCTGGGAAATTAAATTATAGGTAGTTTATTAAAGATTTCAGAACCTTCTCCCCCCTCCCTCCTCTTCCCCAAAACTGAATAGGAAAATGCTTGGAACAACATACATCCTAATTATAAAAATGTTAATAGAAGAGGAATAGAGACATTGACCAAGGCTTAAAACAATTACACAAATTGAATCAAGTTTGTGTGCCTTGTTATTCTATTGACAGCCATGTCATTAGATGATAACTAACCCCACACCTAGGAAGTTAGAAACTCTATTCAAAGATACATTACCCTTTGCAGAATTCCGAAGCCACCAGCATACAACCTGCACTCATTAGTTGTGCAGAGCATCTGTAAGGAAATCTTTTGCAACACTAAAAAACCCATACTGGAGACTCAGGTTATCCTTCCAGACCTAAGTATGTGTTTTGTAATATATCTTGTTCTAGGCAGATGTAAATGTCAGGAGCTCACAAGCTTCTTCTATCTATTTTAGCTGGAGACGACAAAGTACACAGCAGGCAGAAATTCCTTCCCTAACTACTCAGTTCTTAAAATGAATGTTTGCTATAGAGTTAACACAACCAAGGGGGAGGCAATATGCAAAAAGAAGAAATTCCACACTAAATATAGATAAGCACATTCAGGGGCTCATCACGCGAAGAAAAATATTTTGAAATGGAAGAAAGTGAAGAACAAAGATGATCAAGATCTCAAATTCCATGGGGAGAAAAATAAAAGTAGTATTAAAATCTAAAATGAAAAGGATGGGACACTTAGTACTGAAGAATATAAAACTTGAAAATCCAAGTTATTTCATGATAGTGTCATCTGGACCTACCCTACACAGCGCTATGCAAGATGGGGTTAAATAAAATGTACCTGTATCACTGTTGATACAATGGTTAAAAACAAAGGTGAAAGAAAAGACTGCTGTAAGCGTACACGCTCTGTTCTGCAATGTAAATGAATGCAGTTCAAATTATTTCTCTGCTGAGGGAAGCAACAGGCAGCATATAAATGCAAACAACCTTCATTAGACACATTGTCATGAGTATATTAATCATGTCAAGCAGCATTGCTGAGGTTTTCTTCTGTGCAATTTAACATACCTTACTTTATTAGGATGCACTTAATTTCACTGTTTTCTCCTCATTATCATTTATGATGACTAATTAAAATGTTTGTGTCTGTCTCTAAGCAAATTACTTCTGCAATTCAGGTAGCTGAAATCACTGCTCATCCAACACTTGTGTCACCTTGCTCCATCAGTGTAGTATCTTCCGTTGCCCAGCCTCTATTAGCATTTTAAAGACAAAAAGCTTACTTGGGTTGGATATAGGTGGAAAACCAGGTCTTTTTACAGTGCAGACATTAAAAAGTGGGTTTCCCTCCCCTCTCCCACCAGGCTGCACTGTTACACAGCCTCCATGGGCTCTTCCTTGAGGCAACAAGCACTAACTCATGTAGGCAGAAAAAGAACACAGTGAAGCAACGGATGCCTTGGGCATTATTCTCATTCTGGGCTAAAAGTTGTGTGCGGCTCAACTTTGCTTTCCTTTGGTCAACATATGCAATAAATGCAAGTGCACAGCAACTTCACTCTTTTTGTTTCTCCAAAGCCTCCGTATCAGGGTTCTGTCAAGAGCTTTTTCAAATGATGATACAACAGAATGTGCTTCTCTGTATGTTTCCAACATCTGTAAACAAGCCCAAAGCATTTTCAGTGTTCTCAAAAATCAAGCCTGAGGGCATTTTTTTTCTCAACCTCTCACAACTGTGAGCAGTTCATCTGCCAATACCTGTTATTTCCTGGCTTCATGTATATTAAGGTAAGATGAAGATATCTGGAAGTTAGCTGAAAATTCAGAAGGGGCTGGAACTCACTGTAGAGAAATGGGTTCTGGCTTATCTTCTAAAGAAAAGTATGTGTTCTTGTTTACATAACATTACTTTGATGTTATAGTAACGACTTCCAGGAAAACACTAATAATTGCAAGGATGAAGAAATGCCTTAAGACAGGGCTCCCTTTTAGAACAATTACCATTTCATTAAAATAGGAACATAACTTAAAGATAGATTTTATTCTCTTTGATGGTTTACTCATGCAAACTGCACATAAAAGAAAACAGTACAGTTTGTGGAACATGTCAAATGTAAAGACCCAAAATGCTAAGTACAGAAGTAGTGTGACATACGTCTCGAAACGGAATCCATGGTAGTACGACTAATAACTTGTGTCTATTTGCTGAACACAGATTTTAATGGTTCTTTTTCCAGCCCCACTGTTAAAGTCATTAACTGTTTACACGTCTCCTATACACGTATGTAGACTTATTTTACAAGCGTGACAGTTTTGTTATAAAAAAACCTCCACTTATATAAATATGATTTAAAAGCCTTTGTGTTTAGGAGAGCAAATTATAATATAATCAATGAGGCCTTACCTAGTCCACCAAAACTACAATGAAAAGTGACTGTATAGCTTTCTTGCAGAATTCACATTTTGTGCCTTTGTAACTGATTTCCTTCTCACAAGAGGTCCACTGTACTTCACCATCCTGGAAACACTCAGTAACTGTTACAGCTTTTTATCTTGCAATTGGGAAAGTAAGACTTTTAAACACGAGGTTATCAACTCAACTTTCTTAGTTTTAAAATACAAAATATTTAGAATCCCTATTATTTTCATGCTTAAAGCCCTGCAATGATACATATATGACTTAGATACGTCTTTGTCCAGTTTTCATTATAGCATGGTTGTATATATATTGCAGAAATCATGATTTTCCTGTGGATCAATTACATTTTTAGATTTCAAACTGAATCAGATAGAAACTTGATGGCACTGACACTTAAAAACACATAGTATACTGTGGAGAAGGAAGAGCAAATGAATTACACAACCCATTATAAATGCATTAAATCTTTGTTATATACATAATGGAATCCTGCTTTACTGCCAGTTGCTACTATGCATCTGCTTTTGCTATTATACAAAGTTTTCCGACCTGAAAGCACACATCTACTTTTTTTAAACAACTTAATCTATTGTAAAATATTGTACTGTATTTTGAACATGATTACAGAATCAAAATAGATAATGGCACATTTAAAAAACTCAGTATCCTACAGATGATTGGATAATGAGAAAAAGTGTACCTACAATCATCTCATCAGAAACAAACTACATCATGGAATGTTAGTTATCCAAGTTCGCACAGTAAATAACATTTTAAAACTGCAATCACCTATCAGCCAGCATCACATTGAAGGCATCTTTAAACATTCAAGCAAAAGACTGCTGGCATTAACTACTGAACCATTCTCACGCACACACCACACACACCACATTATAATTACATTGTTTCCAAGATACGGTAGATACTGATTTTTTTTTTTTTGTTGTTTTTCAGGTTTTTTTTCCACAAGAAAGGTATCAAAATTTTTGCTACTAAAAGATGACAGTGCTTACACAAGAATTAAGTACAAGTTAGCTTGCAAATACAAGACAATGACAAAAAAAGTCTTGAGTTGTCTGAAGAAGGATTTTAGGCTTTTCTGGCATCCAAACCCATGAGTAAACTCCTTAATCTGCGACTCAAAAATCCACAAAATATCAACCTACTCTGGAATACCAAGTATTCCACATTGGATAACCCTGTATTTTACAATATGCTTACTGGTTTCAGCCTAGCAACAAAGGGTAATTATAGATATCTATTCTGACTGGAGAAATAAAGCTCTCCTCCCCCCAGAATAAAAGTGTTGGAGGGGAAAAAAACCCAAAACCAAACACCTGACATCAATAATGAAAAAAAAAAAATCCAATTTATTTAGTAATGATCCTCACCTAGGATAGGTATGTGCATAAGAGTACTGTATCTCATATACTGTACTGGCCCTATGAAACAAATTAAAACCCTCAACAGTTAAAAAGCCAACCAAAAAGCTACACATAAAACAGCCCAAACGGTTTTCCCCCAATGTTCTTCCTCTCAATGTGCAAAACAACAAAAAGGCAAAAAGACTAAAAGCAAATTTACTGTTACTGTCTTTCTCTTGCCTAGTGCTTTATGACCTTGCTAACATTACAAAGTCAATAGGGACTATGCAGAACTTTGGTATAAAAATGTCACATAATATTACTATCACAGTCATGGGGATGACCTTTAGTAAATTCACCCCAATGTTTGTTGAAATAATATCAAATAAAAAATGAAATAAACCACATTGTACTGTACACACACTTTACACATTAAGCACAAAAAATAACTAGTAAAACTAATACTAAAAAAAAAAAAGTCTTTTGCAAAGAGACCAGAACTGGTGTTCTGTCTCATCTTCACCTGCCAATTGTTAAAGCCAAATTTAAGTTGGAGTTTTAAAAATGAATAATTTTAAGCTACAATTTCTCCTAGATGGAGACTGGTCTTTTGTTGATTTCCCTTTAAAGTCACAAATGTATATCTAAAACTGATGCAATGCAAGTTTTTAATCAACTTCCTGAAGGCTGCGACTGGGAGGGAGGTGCCATGACGATCTGGGAAAGCACCGGCTCCGTGCTCTGGTCCGCCATCTGGGTGAGAACGGAGGTGGCCACTGCTTCTGCCTTGGAAGTTGAGCTTACACCATTGGAAGTGCTGACTGAACTGTGCTGAATAGCTTCCGTGTGGGGACTGCTTGGCACTGATATGTCTTCCGAACTGTCGTCTTTATCTGCAGCTGAAGAAGAAAAATTAACTTATTTTTTCCCCTGGAATGCAGCCCACCATATCCCACATAACAGCAATCACCCCCCTAAATAATTCAAATTCACAGTGTAACAGCACAAATTGCAAAACAATCTTATTTCCATTTTTAGAAGAAAATACTACTTTGTAAGCAGAAAATATGGACTGCACTATGGAATATTCAGGAAAGAACATTTTCACATCTTCAAAGTCAGGGTTAAAGTAGCCTGATTTCTTGCCTAGTGAATCAGCTGGTTGGTGCCACATTTAATTCTAATGATGACTGCTCATATCAATAAAAACAAGTTATAGATTAAAAATGCTACCAGATCTCTTGGTTCTATATGAATTGGTATTCAATTTTTAATACATGCAAGTGCCAATTCAGTTAACCCTATTCAACAGGCTTTCATCTTTGCTACACCTCTATCAAGACCTACAAGATCTCATGCAAAAAAAAACCAAGAAGAAACACATGCAAACTTTGTTAACGACAGAAAATCTAGTGCCATTTCCTGAAAAATACTGCATTACCGAGACTAGCATATTGTTTCCCCCAATCAGAATGAAATGGCAGTAAGTAGGACAACATGTATTGAATACAGTCTCCCCACTATAACACCTGCTCCTACTCTTCAGAGCTGTTGTTATTCTCCTATGAATCTCATTCTTCTCATTATCCTGCTTTTGCTGATCCCCAATTTCCTCGTTGGCTAAATCCTTAGACTCAAGAACAAGGGTTAGTTTTAAATGCTACAAGCCTGAGATAGAGAGAAAGTGATCATTAACTTTCAGCTATCGAAGAAAGGTCTTCCATTGTTCTGCATCCCTTAATATACATGTTGTTAACTCAAAAGACATGTCTGTAATAATACCACAATGAAAAGGAACATGAGAAAGCTTTCTCGTGTACATGGCACTTGCACATACACAGCCCACTCCCCACCCCTCAATGTTTAAAGATGCATTCAGAACCAATAGCATCCTTCTTTGGGAAATAAAAAAGTTTAAATAACCATTTTTTCTGATTTCTCTGTCCTGATGATGCCCTCTTTTGAAGCGGGCACCATACTTTTTCAATAAGGAAAATATCCCAAGAACAATTTTCAACAAAGAAAGGGGTATCTGCACTGTTGTGCTTTTCACTTGACCTGAGACAAAAACATGAGTGGGAAATCCAAAAGATCTTAAAAGATACGTAAAAGTGCCAAAAATACCCTGAAAACCAATAGACTATTTGTGCCTACTGAAGTGCGTAATACATGAAACCCCATTAGATTGTGGACTTAGCTGTTAAAACACAATCTGCATAGTATGAGCCAGCACTGTCTCAGCAGTGCACAATATTCAGCACTGCAGGAGCCCTGTAAGCTGGTGTCTTCAATTTCTTCCACAGAGACAGACTGTTAAACCACTCAATACATTTTTGAAGCAATTCAACTTAAGATTAGTTGATGAACATAATGTTTACTTAAAAATACTTTCTATGAACATCATTTTTCATGAACATATTAACTGAAATAATTTTCCCCTCTCATAAATTGTACTGTGGTAAGTCACTTAGCCAACATGCTTTCCTAACAATACTCACACAGAGATAATACGACAAAACCCTGTCAGAGGGATGACATTACAACTATCATTCATGCTGAACTTTTATTTTCAAGAAACTAGATGAGCTATGCTTCCAATCTCCTTGCTTACTACCATTTTCTTTCTAAAATGTAGGCTTTTTCAGGTTTTTTTCATACTAATTTGGCATTCTTTAGTAAATTAGGAACATAATAGTTCTTTTCTGAGGACAGAAAATAAGCATTACTAAGCAGGCCAATTGTCAAATCTTCAATGAAGAAATCCTTAGCATGTAATTAGTTTGCCACTCCAAGACTTAGGTTTAAATATTTTTCATGCCAATTCAGGAACACACATCCTCTAAACATCAGAATTCAAGAAATCTACAGTTTTTTGTTGCTTTGAAAACTTTGCATGCATAATGTTATCCCCTAGTAGCTTCCGTATGAAATTATGTTGTTCTGTCAGATGGGAGCCATAATGGCCTCATCCCTGCAGCAATCATTGTTAATATAAATCCCAAACATATTTCTATACTGTTCCAATTTACTCCAAGATGCTATTTTCCGTCTTGTCAAAATGACTGGAGATCAAAGGACCAAGATTTATAAGCTCAAAACTGACAAAATCAGTATTCTAAATATATACGGCAATAGAGAATTGCTAAATCTCACGAATCTTTTAAATTAAAAAATATTGCCCATTCTGATGAAATTGCTTACAATGACTACAAGTAAAGATGGTGGCCATTAAGTTTTATCGCAAGCACCTGAGGATCCGTTTGCATGCAATACAAAATGCTCCTTTATTCTCCCGAATTACTGACACTGGCAAATTAAAATGAAGTGGCTACATATGGCAGAAACAATCTTCACATTTACAAATATCCTGAAATATCACTAAATCATAAAAACGAAAGCTGTGGGTTATATATTATGAATGTTGCCTAATGCATTCCCAGCTCAGTTATTTGTAACAAATTTGTGTACAATGGACAAAATTGGCCATTTATTCTACAGCACCAGCAGCTGGTTCTGGCACTGCGTATCATATCCAAAAAGGAAGTTACAAGTCAGGGAAGCATAATTAACCTTTAAAATGCTGGAAGGATGAAAAAAAAAATCAAATGAGTAACTTTTAGTAAAAATACGCATTAAAACCAAACCATGCTGCTGAAACTCCTGTTATTTCCTTCAGCGTTAGAACTGCTTTTTATAATACCCTGTTTACAGAGAAGTAGTCACCTAATGTGGAAATCAAAACAAGCTAGAAGACATTGTACAGTAGGAGCCCTGAACCTGCATCTTATTATTTTAACGGCTTGTCTGATCCTGGATGTAATGGTAAATGAGGACAGCTGTTATATTACCTCTACTGAAATCTCATTACAATGAAGAAAAAAAACCCCCACAAGGACCCTTCACTGTACTAAGCTAAGATAAAGTATAAAAAAATGGTTTATCATGTGCTTTTAATACTTAAATTATATTTTTCAAAGCAGGTGTAGTAACCAACAGTCCTTAAATGCTAATTACCACATGCATTTTATTAAACCAACATAAAACCTTCAATGTTACACAACATTTCAACTGAAAGGACTTAAAATATATTTCTAAATATCACATACACATTTTTATCTTCCAATAGCCTTTGAGATTTTTTTAAAAAATATCTTTAACATTATATTAGAACTGCACTTCTCAATTTTAATGTTCATTCAGTTCACTTTGGCAGTATTTCATTGATGCAGCCTAAGGCTATAGGTAATGGAACATTACTCACTATGATAGCCAGATTTCTTCTGCATGGCGGTTACAGGGCAATCTTTATGAGCCAGAAGAAGCTGTTTCAGCTGTGCCACTTCGTTTCTCAGCAGGGTGACTTCATTCTGAAGGAGAAGAAAGTTACGTACTTTACCAGGCTCAAACTACACACATTTTGAAGGTAAGTATTAAGTTTTATAGGATTTTCAGTTGTTCATTTAGGAGTAGATAAAACACAGGAAGTTTCCATTTGCCATATATTGCAAAAAGTATACATTTCTTTTATCTCAGAATATGTAAACATCAGCTGAAACCTGGCAAACTTCATTTTATGATTTTCTTAAACTAGGAAATGCTTTTTCTGGAAAATACAATGGATGTTTTTCAGTTTGCAGATGCAGAATCTACACATAGTCTCATTCACATGATCCAGCTCCTGTAAAATTCCTCTGCAAAGTTTTGGGATGAATCCTCACCAGAGTAAACCTACATTTAAATACCCACATTTTAACAGATGACACAGCCAACATTAAAAAAGGTAAAAAAAAAATAATCAGCCAATGCAGAATGATTTTTGGTGATTATATTCGTACTTGGTCTTTGAGAATGTCATGTACTGGAACATGATTTCGTAAATGTTCGTTGATTTCCAGATCAGTTTTTGCTTCGGCATCCATACTATAAACACGTTGTATGAAGGAATCCTTGGTAATACTGACAAAATCCTGAAATGCCAGTTTATGTCACTAAAGCAGAGTGTAATCTGGGAGACAGCACCTGCAGAAGCTAGTGACTGGGTTTATTTCCAGGCTATGCCTTTCCACTACTGGGCGACCTTGAGCAAGGTCATTTTACTTCTTTGTGCTGCTATTTCCTCATTTGTAAAATGGAAGACAGGGATACTCACCTCTCCCGTAAAGCAGTTTGGTATCTATAGATGAGAAGTGCTATCTAACTACAACATATGTGACAACCCAAATTAAGAAGGGAATGGCATTTTGATAGACCCATTTTCACTTTAAATAGTAGAAAAATGTTTACGTATCTACAGAATCAAGTTATCTGTAATGCTCTGTGATCCCCTTCTCTTGTCACAATATTTGCTTTTCATGGGTTATTTTATTTTAAATATAAAACCTTTCCATTGATGCTTGAAGTTAGTTAAACTATAAGAACCTTTGCACGTTAGCATAAAATACCACACACATGACATAATTGTTTGGTAAATGCATATTTTTATGCATTTGGGAGCAAGTTAAAGAAAAAACAAACAAGGGAAAATTGGACTGCAACTAAAAGTATCTGGAAAAAATAAACCACAGGAAATTCGATGTATTTACTTGATAGCTAGAAGTAAGGCAATGGATTCCAAAGCAAGGAAAACAATTTTTAAGAACAGAACTGAGTAGGTTTAATTACACTAAGTAACACATTTTATAAATATCTGTAAGTAAAATGATAGATTTTTAAAAGAAAAGGCTTCTTTTTGTGTCCTCTTTTCCAGTTTAGAAAACAAATAATTTCAAGTCTTTGTACTTGCAAAATCCTCTTAAGCTATTAAGGACTACTTTTCTATTCATTTTATTGTGTCAAAGATGTCTTTTATCAACTTTATAACAAAAGCAAGAGTTGAAATAAAGCCAAAAATCTGACTTGATGGCCATTTCTAATGAAAGAAAAATGCAGCTGCAAACAAAAAAAATCTGCAGTTAGAAAAACCCAACCAAAACACCCACACGTTCTCTACTGGCTGGCATTACACGTCCTGAAATGTTGGGCTGTTAAGAAAGCACACTACTTCTGCCTCTAGCTCTCGGGGTCCTCTTAGTTCATTACGTTATTACTGAGGACTCACAAATCTGGATGCCAAGCAGGCAGCTGCTCAGAACTGATGTAGCTGGGGAAAAAAAACCCCAAAAAGTGCTGATGTGGTTTTGAGACACTTCTTGATAATCTACAGAAGCAGCAATGTCCAAGAATATGAAGCTTGCGTCCGTTACTTCCTTAGTTTAAAGGAACATTAGCAAAATAAGGGATTAAATTGCGGGAAAGCTTTTCAGGAATTTTCTTCCACATTTTAAGGAAGAATTTTATATACAAGTGGCACATATAAATACGAAATTGCTGTTCATCAGTGTAATAAAACGAATGTTTATGAACATTTTTTGAAATACAGTTTATCCATTAATGTAAATGGTATTATAAATTGTAAGAATTTTGCTACCAGAAATATAAAAAGCAAATATATTATCTTACATTAAAGCAGATTTAAAGAAAAATGGAACAGCATTCCTGTACTAAAAAAAAAGGTGATGTTTTCTCATTGAATACATAGCTAGCACTGCTATTAACATGAACACTGTATGCCAACAGTGTTACATGCAATGCACAAATCATCCCTGAAAGCAGAACAGAGTATGTCTGCTAGACACACAGTTCCTGGAGTGTCACAGGAAGGCTGTCATTTACGTATTACATATTAAGTGGTAAGAACCACTTCTAACTGGTAACCAACTCCCATACACAGTGTAATTTCGTATCATGTATGTGACAACAGCAAGTCTTTCTGTGTCATTTAAAACATGTTAGCATGTTGTGGTCATTTAACATGTTGAAAACAGGCTAATATGAAACACATGGAATAAACATTTCAACAGTTCACATCAAGAAAGATTATTTCAAGTTTTCACACTGGAAAAGTCCTTCTCATTAATGAGCGAGATATCAAGTCAAGTGTGTGCATCAACATTTCTTTAAATAAACATGCAATATACCTCTCATGCTGTCTAGAAGAATTTTTATGTTCCCAGATTTCAAAAAATGCCAAGATTAGAAAGCAGGTTTCTGGCAGAAAGCGTATCTGTTTTTACCTGCACTCCATTTTTCAAAAGATACTTACCCTTCTGTATTCTTACAAAGGCATACCGCGCAGCATACAATATGTTCTTCTGTATCTGCCTATTTCTCCCTGGATCCAAAATGCATATGTAATAGGGGGATGAGATTAACCCTTACTCAGCAACGTGTGCAACAATATTTATGAATAAAATATATTTATGAACACTATCATCAAACACAGGTAGATGTGACTTATAGGGATAGGGGACTGACATGGCTCAAACACTGCTCTTCCTGTTTCTTTCTGTGCAACTTCAACAGGACACCTCTATATGGGAAAGGGCCTTTTATTTTATTCAAGGCCAGGCTGAAGGGGACTTGAGGAACCTTGTCTAGTGGAAGGTGTCCCTGCCTGTGGCGTGGGGCGTGGACCTAGATGATCTTTAAGGTCCTTTTCAACCCAAACAACTCCATGATTCTATGACCTTTACTTACAGGCATTTCAAAATTTAGCCTTCTGAAACCAGCTTCTGCAGCATTAGTACAAACCACCACTTAACTGCTCATTCTTTAAAACTTACAATGACCTCGTGAGGCAGATAGCCCATTCTTCCACTAACACATTGTCCTCTAAGATTATCAAACCAACAAAGACCAAATAAGAGACCACATAATGAACTTCGGCATCTGATCCTGCAATACGATTGAGTGGCCATTGGGGACACACTGTCAATACTTCCTTGACGTTATATAGCATACCATACCCTGCACAGAGGCAACCCAATGTGGTATATAAAATTTCAGATCAATGAACAAGTTAAAACATTAGTAGAAAACACAGTCCATAAAAAGCAAATAGTAAACAAACTTTAAAAGGTTGCATGCATGAAAAAAACTTACAGGGCAAGACTGTAATAAAGACAGCCAACCTAACCTACATATATTACTGGTGTGATGCAATAGATGGAAATTTTCCCTTAAGCAAAACTTTGGAAAATAATGCTTAAAAAGAAAGTTACATTTAAACACTTAAAAGAAGAAAGTAGGCAGAAAATCTACACAAAGCTGAAAACTACGAAGAAAATATATACCTCAACCAAGTAAACCTCTTCAAAATCTGTGTGCACTGTTAGAGAGGTTCCAGTCTTAAAAACCTCGACATTGACATTAGAAGGTCTGGCACAGACATTACAAGAAAGCTACTAACTGCATTGAAAGAAGTCAGAATTGTTATGTGAAGCAATGCAATGTGGTTACTTTGGTATTAGCCTGCTCTTGGACATGTGACATCTCAGTAAATTCAGCTGAGCGGGTCATTTACATATTAAACAAAATATGAACTACTAAACCCTAACACTCAGTCTATAAAATTGTACTAAGCCAAAACTCCAAACTTATTAAATTTACTATTAAGCATAAAGTAAGTAATCATGGGTCATTACTGCCCGCTATGCCGATCAGCTGTGTTAGCCTGTCAAGTGAAAAACTATTATGGAAATACAGGATTGATTAATGTTTTCACATGAAGCACAGTTTAATTATTTCTCTGACATTAATTTTCTTTTCAAGCCACCCTGCTCTTCACAGTTAGACGGTTTTGTTTTTGGCAGACCGTAAGAAAATGTTTGTTGAACTCACCGAGTTAACTCTTGGAAATCTGGAAATATTTTGGCTACAGTAGTTACATCATTTTTGGTTATAAAAATTGGCATGTCGAAATTCTAGGCAGTTCACATAATACCCATAATTACTTCCATTTAGAAACACTGAACTATACCCTAACTTGTTTTTCTCCCTGTGGATCTACCTTCGCCTGTTTCTTAGGTTGTTGAAACTATAGTGCTACATACCCTTTTGTAATTAATGGATTTACAGTGAGGATTGTGAGGAACATTAGAGGAACATGTTTAAAGACTGTGAACAGGTATGAGAAGACTATGTATTTGCAAGAAGGTTATCTAATGCTGGTGCACAGTGTCATGATTTTTGGAATACAGGAAACGATTTCACATTGTGTGTTTAGGTAGGAATTTCTTACATTTTACAGTCTGGGATGCTGAGTATTTTTATTTTTGAAGACATGAACATTAAGACAACTGATACACTGTGATCTTGATTACATGATAAAAAGTAATCTGAACATGAATCCAACATTTCTTTTGGTCAAATCAGAACATTTTCTTTATCAAATAGCAAGAAAAAGAAATTTTAATAAGAAGGAAAAGATCAGTGATTTTGACTCACTGAACAGCTCTGATGAAAGGAAAAGTGAAACTTTAACATACCAAAATAATTTCCATTGCATTTTCTAAACGAATGCTTCATTTAGGAAATGACACTACTTTTTCTTTTGGTAATTTTTAAAACAAAGCTTTTTGACAATACTTTGTGCCAGTTCTCACTTGCTGCTGGAAAACATTAACAAAGTATGTTTCAACATTTAATAGCAGTTTAAGCAAAAGGGTCAGAGATTGTTCTATAGGGGAAGAAGTGTGTCTGACAACCTTCCAAAATTGCTAACCTCAAGATGAGGTGGAAAAATTACTTGTAATGTACACTAGACTACCCTCTTACAGTTGCTCACTACAGGGTTTATGCACACTGGGAGGGCAGTGTGGGGAAATTTGCACTGCCACTGCCTGAGCTGTACCTGTTCTGTGGACAAAAGAAGCCTTCAGTTTCCAGTGATGTCAATCTGGCACCTTTCACGAGCACTACATACACTTTAAAGGAAAAAAAGTGAAGTTAAAAAGAACCAAAGGAAATCAAACCAAATCTTATTTAAATAACCCAGGCTGTGATACAAATTATTAAGAGCAAGATGTTTGTAAGGTAAGGCTATTACTTTGATAATATGCCTTTACTGCAACATATCTTGTCATCTTTGTTTGGCATCACAGTCTGAAAGTTATTTAAAATGGAGCAAAGGACAAAAAGGCATGATCCTGACGTTTACACATATTGAAATCTTAGTATTCTTATTTTACTGCTATATGCAATCAGTGCTGAATTATCAATTCTGACCTGAGCCACCAGTTGCAAAGCCATTTAATTTCAGATTTCATGCAAAGTTTAAGTTCCATTGATCCATGATCAGTAAGAAAGGAAAAACTTATTCATTTTTACTGGAAATAAAAAAGTGTACCTGTAACTGGCCATTTAGTGAGCTCAGGTCCTCTGCTTTTTTCTCCAAAGACTGCACCCAGACTTTCCGTTTCTGTCGGCATCGGGAAGCAGCAGCCCGGTTTCGTTCCAGAAACTTCCTTCTTTTCTCATCAGGGTCTTCATTGGCGGCTCTTCTTCGCCGACCACCTGTATTTGGTGTTTGTGGAGTAGGCTGAGCTGGTGATGCCTGAAAACAGTAAAAAGTATTAAAGTGTATACATTTCCTTAGTGGAAAGCTATGTCCTTTAACTCTACATCTGCGTTTTAAAACTTTTACTGTATTTATACACTCCTTACCATGTTACATTAACATGTAGTATTTTAATCATGGCTCTGGATTTGGTTTAAAATTGCTCTAAAAAAAGCCAATCACTTCACAGAGTTAAATTTGTATGACATTTACATTTGGCAACTGTAAAAAGCCTGGAAGCAATGCTTCTTTAGGGCAACTCTCAGACCATTCTTTTACCAATTCTGATGACAGAAGTATTTACAAAAAGTAAAATTTAAAAAGCTCTTCCACCCAAAATAACTTTTAAGTTACATTTAGCAGGAAATAGATTTCCTACTTCTGACCCTTCCCAAACACTCCTCCCACAAACCTAGTCACAACTGAAATACTACACAATTTTTATGCCCAATATATAGAAGCTGTTTGACAAATGCCGTCAGTGCTGGTACTGATCCCTGGATCTCCAGATAGCAATTTCCTACTTGTTGATGTGTTCCTCATGGATGCATACCAATTTCTCTTATATCCACCCACATATTATGAACAGATCAAAATATTGCAATATTTTAAATTATACATTATACTCCTTTCATAGCTGTATAGAGACCCTAGGCAAAGACTTAATGAATTACAAGAACAATATAATGGATCTTAAAATCCTTTAAAGTTATAAGATGGACAGAATATAACTGTCTACACGACATATTCACAGGTGTACCTGCACATTCAGTCTAGCACACTAAGAAAGCTTTAATTTTAAATTAAAAACCCTAAACACATCTCAGTTGCCATATTGATTTGGCATAAATTCTAGATAGCTAATAATTAAAAACACAACTGGGAACTCAATCAGCCTTTTAGGAATGAAACACTTGCAATCTTTTTTCCTTTTAATACTGATTTTTTAAATAGTGATTTTAAAGTAACCACGAAATTACTAAACAGCAAGCTTCTCATCTTGAAAATTCTGCCATGTGAGATTATGAAAATATTCTTTTAAAAACTGTAAGGTAGTATGGGAGTTCTCATCTATCATCCCACAGGGACAGCACATCATTCACAGACTCAGAGCCTCCCTTTCAGTACCCAGGATGGCACAGTACACTTAATCACACAGCTGAAACTTTGTGTGGCAGCCCAGACGATCAAATTAACATAAACATGATACCTGATGCAGTTAAAAAAAAATTCTGAAGAGTATTTATGATACGAAATATTCAAGAGATGCAATATAAATACACAATGAAAGCACTTAGCTTTTTCAAATAGATATTAATCAGCTGTACAATTTTTAGTTGTCACTGAATTTCCTGTTGGTGACCAGAAATCAGGTGGACTTGGTTCTAAATTTGATCAGATATATAATACCTATTTTGAAATTGGCATCTTGGAGAACACATTTTAGAAGCATTTAAAGAACATGTAAGAACTATAAACATTTTACTGCCACATGATTATGAACACCTAGGGGAGTCTGCAGAACATGTTAACCTCTATTTTACAAATCAAAAGTAAAGAAAAAAAGACTTTTTTTTTTTCTGCATAACAAAGAAGTGGGTAGGAGCACCTCTCTACTTTGTTGTCATACCGGTGTTTCAGTTGTTGAAGTTGCAGGCTGCTGTAGTGATTGTGGTCGTGGTTCCTCTGACTGAGTCCTAACCAGTCCACTTGGATGTCCCTTGGCAGTATCTCCATTTGTTACCTGAGGGTGCTGCTGGGTCAAGGCTGCTTTCAATCTCTGGAGCAGAAAAAAAAAGGAGGGAAAAAGAAAAGGAAATATTCTATCATGCTAACTTGAGGAGATATTCATATTTATACTAGTAGTTACTTCCAACTCAGAAAGAGAAGCTCAACTCTAAAATAGCTGTTTCTTTTTTCAGGCTTTCAACAGTGATCTAGGCATAAGTCGACTGATAGGTGACAATTTCTTGCAAACGTGACAATAGCAATGATGCTTTACATAGGACCTCAGCAAGAGAATGATGGTAAGTTATATGGAGAAGTAAACAAAAAGTGTCCTTTGTGATGAATTATGCCCACAGAGAGATGACTGTAAGGTCATGAACAGACAGTTGCTGAAGCTGGTATTATACCAAGTACAGATCAGTAAGATAACCACCACACAAGGGAAAACAGACAATAAAAAAATAACACAAACTTCTTCAGTTTTATAAATCTTTGTGTTCTCTATCCGTTTTTAAGTAGGTTGTAATGACTCCCCTTTGTAATGCTCTTTACAAAAACTCACCTTTACAATCCTTCCTACAAGTAATTATTAGATAAAAGCCAAGGTCTTTGCTAAAACATCTCAATAATGTACAAAATAATAACAAGATTCAGATTATACATAAAGACTATATATAGAGAAATATACCACCTGTTACAGCATGCTATTTAACATCAAAATTGTTAAAAGGTTTGAAGTTCTTCCTTAGTTGCACACAGTCACTATGAAGAACACTAGCTTCAAAGTTCCGCTGTAAATAATACATTCAAGACCTACTGACAGCGTTATAGATTATTTTAAACAATTTTATTGACTACCTTTTGAAAATTATTTCACTCCTCTTTTGGTGAAATCTATTAAAACTATAAAAAATATTATAGTCTGTTTACAAATTCTTAATCTTAAGTGATAAAGGGTCACACTAAATTTCAGTAGATAAGACTGTTCACAGTTCCAAATTCTTCCTTAAAATTTCATTAATATTGTATAATTCATCATGTATTTTCAGTTTTAATGAAGAATTTTCCTTACTAGACAAATGGTATTAAATAATGGTTTTCTATTGAGCTCTGGACTTTTAAGGAATCCACTACAAGTTTAAGAACAGGTTAATGACTTAATAGCTGACATTTTGTTAACACTCTGGTAACTTGTAACATAGTATTTTAGAATATGAACAAAGTATTGCCAAAGTACTAGTATTAATATGATGTCTTTAAAATGCTGGAGCTAGGCTGCATTTGGCCAGCTCAAAATAAGTAGAAGACTTTGTACCTATTTATGCAGCTATTCTCTATAAGCTTCAGTATACCTCTCCCAACAATTAAGTCACTAGAATACAGCAACAGCACCCTCCTCTCTTGCATGATGATAGACTTTTCTGGATGTTATTCTACAGTCAGAACAACAGACTGCAGACTACCTCTGTCAGAACTGCAAAAAAATCTTCAGGTCTGCAATATGGCAGTTACATCAGCTATCAAACCTATAGAGTTGACTACAGTATTTAACTACGACTGGCAGATACCCATTTAAAGACTACAAAGAGAACCAAGAAAATTCAATGTTGCTCTGCAGGGCTGCTATTAAGTAATCTTTTACCAATGACTTCTGTAGCAAGTCTTTTCTGTGGTGACTGCTCTAGATTGAACCAGCAATACAAATTATCTGCCACACACCAGGTAAAATGTGTCTGGGTCAATCTACCACCACTCAACCAAGACACAGTAACTTGATTTATCAATACGTCTCTTCCACTGCTATGAGAAATAAAAATTATGAGGTTTCATCCAACTGAAGTGTATGAATGTGTAAGTTCAGTGATAACAAGCTAACTTCTAATCTTCACAGCAACAGAGCACAAGCATTTACATGGTTAGTATGTGTATGGCCAGAATATCTGACCTACTCTGTACGTGACTGCATGAGCAAATCCTCATGTAAGTATCCTCCACAAAAATACCTCAAAACAACAGAATCGATGAACTCCTAAAAATGCTTTGCAGTGTTTGCTTAAAGTTGGTTACGAAGTTTCCCTAGCATATCCATTTCTTTAATGAAAGAGAGCCCAATTTCAGAAGATTTAGGAGATGAAACATAACTAATTAGTGTTTGTTTAGGGTCTTGGTTTCTCTTTTCTTTCTTTTTAGTTTGGTTTTGTGGGTTTGTTTGCTTTTTTAATGTGCATATAAGGCAAGTAACTGTTATTACTGTCTAGCTTCATTCTTTCTACCTCTGCATTTCTTAAAGAAATATATGCAAAGTTAAGCTAAAAAAGAAAGTTCATGCTATTTAATATGTATATTTTGCATTTAATTTGAAAGTGGTAGTAGAAAGTAAAAGAAATCGCCCAATAGTGCCTACATTATAAAAGATCTATCATCAGGCATAATGAATGTTCTGTCAAAGGAAGACTTTCCCTATCATAATGCTAACATTTAAACATTATAATTCTGTAAATTTAAAAGTAAATAAACTCCTTTTGGAAATTACATTGTTAAATGTAAAGGACTATGGAAACAAATAAAAAATAATTGGTTTTACTTTTCTATTACAAAGTTTAAAATCTGAAATTCAAATTCTTATTATTAACATTATCCATAAATACAGAAATACTGTGAAAATTGGAGGAGTATCTACAGATTTTTACAAACAGATATTCAACTCATGTATTTAAAAGGTTTCATATTATAGAAGGTAATCCTGGAGTAAAATACTATACGGATATTGGGTTTCCTGTGAGCAGGGGGCTGGTTACCCCAAATACAATGAGAATCTTAGTTTTAAAAATCAAGTACATACACAAACAAATATTAGAATAAGTGTACAGAGGTGTTGTTATGTAGCGAAATCTGAGGACAACCAAGGTTTGTTTGATATTATTTGGTTATTAGAGGCAAAATAAAATAGGTGTTCTCAAACAGCCTAACAGCTTTTAAAGTCTTCATTAGCAAGGTTTTATTGTTCACGTATACCCTTGAAAACAAATCTTCACCACATCTGTCAAAATTTGGTAGGACTAGATCATTCCATCAAGAGCTCACAGAAACAAGATAATAGTCTCCAGAAACAATTTGTGAAAAACTCAGATCCATATTTCATATCTGCCACAAAAGCTCATCAGAGTAATAACCCTCTTTCTCCTGGGTGTTATCCTACCATCTGCTGCTCTATTACTTATCTTTATTTTGCAACTAATTAACAGCATAATCTTCTAAATTCAGCAAGTTAATTATCATTATTGTGGTCTTTGCAGCATCATCAGTCCTTATGAAGTCTTGTCTTTCCACCCCCAGAGAACATATGAAAATGAAGTAGGTTGTGAGAGGGCCTGTTTCTTTAGAGTAGGCTCATTAGGTGTTTGCTGATTAGCTCGGCACGCAGAGAGACAGGTCAGAAGAATTCTGCTGAACACAAGGTCCCATGCCGGGCTCCAGCAAGTTAATGTCGGTTTCTGAACATTTGCCAAGCTGCCCTCTGTCACTTCTCAGTAGTAACCTCCTGCAGAAAGCCCACTGGTTGCCCACTGTGTGCAAGGTATTTCTCAGATTGTGACAAAAGGTTTTATATGGGTATAAATTTATATGGGTAGGAGGAGACAGAGGGAAATACCTAGTGTTAGAGCAATTTTTAAGTTCTTTAGAAGCTTCTGCAATCTGCAGAAGGGTCTGAACATTAAGTTTGCATCTACAAGCTGTACACTCAAAAAAAGGTTGTTTTACAAGTAACTCACGTCTCATGTTTCATATACAGAAAGCATACAATTACAGATCTTCTCACAAAAGGATCAGAAGCAACTCTGCAATGTTTAGAAACATACATCCTTACCTTAATGAGGAAGTTTTTTTGTTTTGGCTCTTTTTAAACACAGATATTGCATCTACTTCTAAGCCTCTCTAAAATACCACAAAACAGAGTTCTGCATTTGATTAACATTGCAACACATAAGGAGTCACATAAAAAAAAATACAATTTATATTATTCAGTGTGCCACAGAAATCTGGAATACATTTTTGCCCCTACTGAATGTTATTCTCAGTACAAGATAACAGGACATTTTCAAAACAGTAGCAGTAAACGGTCTGCAGCAGAAGTCTTATGAGGAACGGCTGAACGAACTGGGGTTGTTTAGTCTGGAGAAAAAAAGGCTCAGGGGGAGACCTGATTTATCACTCTACAGCTACTGAAAGTAGGTTGTAGTGAGGTGGGGGTCAGTCTGTTCCCCCAGGTAACAAGCAGTAGGACAAGAGGTAACAGCCTCAAGCTGCACCACGGGGAGTTTAGACTGGATAGTAGGAGAAATTTCTTCATCAAAAGGGTGATCAGGCATTGGAACAGGCTTCCCAGGAAAGCGATGGAATCATCATCCCTGGAAGTGTTCAAAAACCATGTAGATGAGGCCCTCAGTGTTACAGTTTAATGGTGGTCTTGGCAGTGCTGGGGTAGTGGTTGGACTTGATGATCTTAAAGGTCTTTTCCAACCTAGTTGACTCTATGATTCTAACAGACAGCTTGTGTCCGAGTAAAATCCCTAGTCATATTTCACTTTAGTTCTATAAGCAATAGGAGAAAAAGGATCCAAGAACGTTCAAAAACAGTGCCTTTCACAGGTGTGAACGGACCAGCTATGTTCACTACAATAACTTCAGTACTGGACAATAAAATTGTTAGTTCCCTTATCTTTAACAGGGTTGAAGACTTCTAGGATAGCTGAATTAAAAATTTAATTGTGTTACAAGAAGGCATCCTATGCACACGACCAGAAAGATTTTCTACCAGTTATTTTAAGCATTAGCTTTTAGAAATCAAAATGTCAATTTTTATAAAATCATTAATGAACTTTAGTAAAAGAAAGATATGATGCTCTATGTACAGTTTGGCATATGCAAGTTGTAAGAAAACAACAGGTATTCATCAAAATAGAAGTGCAGTATTTTCACAATAAAAAGACAGAAATAAGGTTACGCAAACCCATATTTAAACAATTAAACTCCACAGCACTAGGAAATAATGGTACTACAATCCCTAATCTGATTTGTATCAACTTAGTTCTCACCTTCTCTTAATAAATAATGGAAGTCTATACAACAATAGCCTTTTGTAAAAAGGTAAGAGAGGAAAGAATGACTGAGATGAGAACTGAAATCAGAGCACAAAGTGCTTTCCTTATTATAAAATTCTAAAATACATTAGCTCCTTAAAATGCCATGCAAGAAATGAACTACTGAAATAGCCTATGTAGTGAAAGGCACAAAGCACAAATGAAGGGAAGTGCCTGGCTCTTGCCTTGGTTTATGCCAGTCATCTGAAACATAAGGAGTTGTGCCTTCTGCACAGGAAAGATCCATATCTGATAATAATTCAGCAATCTGGGGATAATGTATAAGTGATTCTAAGTGATAAAGTTTTTGCAAACAGTTCTTCAAGTATTTCACTCAATCTCTGAAGTAGGTAGAGCTGTGTTACTAATACCTTGAAATAGTAGTCATACTGCAGAATGCCTTATTAGGAAAATATGACCTTTGAATAAAAGAAAAATTCAAACAATGATGGCCAAAAGCATGTATGACAAAACCCTTTGGAGATACAAAACCACACATAAACTTTACAAATTCTGCATCCCATACACTATCAAATTTCCTTCAATATCTGAGGAACAGTTGCAATGTTAGGAAACTGTCTGAGCACGTTTTTTATATTTGCTACATATTCTATTTCCATATGTTATAATATGAAAAAAAATCCATAAGACTGCAAGGTCTGTCTATAGAGAACAGTAAAAATTGTCTCCAAATACTGAGTAACAAATAAAACAAAGCAACAACTAAGAAAATTCCAAAGATCTAATACAAACCTCCTTTCAGCTAGTTGTAGAGAACGTAAGTTCTCCCTGAGCCACCTTTTCTCCAGACTAAACTACCCCAGTTCCCTCAGCTGCTCCTCAGAAGACTTGTGCACCGAGGTCAGGCTGACAGGCCTGTAGTTCCCTGGATCCTCTCCTTCCAGCACTTCTTGTAGATGGAAGTCACATTTGCTACCTTGAGTCAACTGGAACCTCCCCAGTTAGCCAGGACTGCTGCTACATGGCTGAAAGTGGCTCAGTGAGCACTTCTGCCAGTTGGCTCAGTACCCTGGGTGGATCCCACCCAGTACCATAGACTTGTGTGTGTCTAAGTGGTATAGCAGGTCAATAATCATTTCCCCTTGAATTATGGGGGCTTCATCCTGCACCCTGTCACTGTCCTTCAGTTCAGGGTGCTGGGTACCCACAGTATAACTGCTCTTAGTATTAAAGACTGAGAGAAACAAGGCATTGAGTAACTCAGCCTTTTCCTCATCCTTTGTTCCCATGTTTCACCCCACATCCAACAGGGGATGGAGATTCTTCTTCGCCCTCTTTTTGTTGCTAATGTATTTCCAGAAACATTTATAATTGTCTTTTATAGCAGTACCCAGATTAAATTCTAGCTGGGCTTTGACCCTTCTGATTTTTTCTTTGCATAACCTCATAACATACTTGTAGACTTTCCCTCTTCCAAAGGTTATAAACTCTCTTTCATCAACATTCAGCCAAAGCTCTCTATTTAGCTAAGCCAGTCTTCTTCCCCAATGGCTTATCTTTCAGCACATGGAGATAGCCTGCTTCCACATCTTTAGAACTTCCTTCTCGAAGCACGTCCAGCCTTCCTAGACTACTTTGCCCTTCAGGGTTAACTCCCACCATGAGGGAGAAATGTGGCTATGGTAGGCCAAAGGACACAGGAGGTGTGTTCCCAGTGTTCTGCTAACATAGCAGTAAATCCACAAATTACAGTATGCTATTAATAGATGAAATGTATACTGTGATGAAACATACAGTGTTCACTTACTAAAGTTCAGTGTGATAGCTTGTATTTCAACTTTAAATGTAAACTATTAATAAAATAAAAAGCAAGCAAGTAAAACTAAATATTAAGTCTTCTGTTGGCTTAATGTGAAGACAAGTGACAAAAAAACCTGATTACCATAACTTTCCAGAACTTAGTATGTAGGAAGCAAATTTATTTCCAAAAGATCCATGAAAAAGAAAGGATTTAGCATTGCAGACTTAAATTTAAAAATGTAAATGGAACCTTATAGTTAATAAACCATCACATATCTGCCAACAATGCATTACATGGCACTGTGAGTTAGCTTTCCTGTTAGAAGCTTTTCTACATAAAGTCTCTCATTAAATTGCCTTTCCTTTAGAAGCGATAAGAAATTATGGTTTTTCTTTTTGAGAATAGGCAGTATATAAAAGTAAATGAGCATAAGTAGTATACGGAATTCTGATATTCTTGAATTCTGCTCATGCTTTATATTAAGCAACAAGAAAGGAAAGAAGAAATTCAGCAAATACCGTTTTTTACAGTCTCAAAAAAAAGAGATAAGCAATCACTGAAGTGCGTATATTTGCTAAATTCTAACGAGAAGACTAATGAGACTGTTAAATTTTAAGCCTAATGATCTTCGCTTTTCTTTGCATCTGAGTGATTGCTCCTTCCAATGTGAAATCAAACTCTTCCTCAGATACATATATTTCCTTTTTTCCTTTTAAAACTCTGTAAAAACAAATCACTCAGTAATACGCTTAAAAACCTAATTTCCTGTCCATATAAAAAAAATTATTTGGCATCAGTTCCTCCCAGATTTCAAAGCGGAATTCAGTGCATGAGTCTCCTATGAAATGCACGATTTCTGAGAAAAGAGTTCTTGTTTTCACTTTCTGACACTCTTCTCCCGTAGATTTAATAAATACATTTCATCAGAGCTGGTTACATTTAAATACCCAATTATTAAAGGATTCCTTTTACCATCCCCAGGGGTACAAGGATGTACAGAAACAGACCTTCTTCCTTTCTGCCCCTCGCTACACTATTTTAAAAGTCATTGTGTTCAACGATGGAGGAAAATGAAGGAAGACCTAACAGCATTAGGAAAAGTCAGTGCACTAGTGACCAGCTCTCCACCTTAATTTCACTATTTGGTGAATGTGGTCCAGTGTATATACTGGAATCCCATTACTCCAGACAGCAGAATAATTAGTATTCAAAGACTCACTGGTTTTTATATTGTGATTTGAAGAGAGAAAATGGGTAAGGAAAGAAAACCTACAGGTTTAGGTCAAAAGAAACAAGATAAAAAAAGGATGTTAAGGGCATCCTTTCACTTAACAACACTGAAGTACAACAACATGTTTTATCTACCAGGTGCTCCTGATTCTTTTTCAGCACAAGGTAAAGAGTCAGAAGAGGAACACTACTTCACAAGATACATACTATTTACAGAGGCATCTTATACATACATAAATGGGTTAATTGTTGTTTAATAACAGATTTTCTATTGCTTTAGAACAGTTGGAAGAAACAGGAGAGCAAAACCAAAGAAGCAACTATCTAATGTTGCAGATGATTTTTCAAGAAATTGATCAAACTACCACCATAACTGGATCACTATTACCGGGGAAAAAAAATAAATAAATCTACTCATGATTTTACCAAATAATCTCTAAAACCCCAAACCAACAGAAACAACCTCCACACAAAACAATTTCTTAACTATGTCAGTACTACATATCTAATTAAAAAACTCTTGCCAAATGAACTATATTCAGCTGAGAGTCTGAAAACATGTGTTAAGAAAAAACCTTTTCCTAGTTTTTTAAAGAAATATATCCTTAGGGAGGAAAACATATTCTGCTTCTCAGATGGCGATGTTCACTGTTAACATGCTACTAGTCTTGTCTTTCTTCCAACTAACGCTTCTTATCCTCCAATACAGAAGCAAGGAGTTTATTTTAAATTAACTAGATTTTTAACTAATGACTGAAAATAAGATCAAAACCACCATTAATAACAGAACTAACATAGGCTGGAATTTGAAATATCTGTAAAGTAAATGCAGCTGTTATTTTTCTGTTTTTATTAAATTTGTACTTGCAGAATTTAGACTAACAAAAGAAAACTAGAGCTGTTTTAAAAAGCAATAGAATTTAATTAATTGCTCAATTTACTCTTCTTGAGGAATAATGGAGTTTTTCACTTACCAATTTAGCCTCAGACTGCACTGGCTGTGGGGAGGAGGGCCCTGGGATTCCTGGGATACTAGGCACCATGGTGACAGGTCTAACAAGCTGACCAGATAAAGTATAAAAATGAAGAAAACCTGAGTATGTTATCATAACAGAGAGCATATGACAGCACTACCCTCTGAAGCCAAAACAGCTATCAAGCTGCTTAAAACTAAGTTCTATGCTGCACTTATGCAAAACTGCTCCACTTTCAAATTAATATAGCATCATGCTTACTTACTGGAACTGCAGCAGGGACATGCACATTAGAATTTGTGATAGATGCAGGAATAGCAACAGGCATGGTTTGTCCATTAGGAAGATGTAACAGCAGAGGAAAAGGACCTGGAACTGGACTGAAAAAGGAATGAACTATATAAAAGAAAACTTATTCAGAGAAGAGAACAAGTTTACACATTATTTTAAATTGGTTTGTTTGTTTACAGCTGTAATGTAATACTTATTTGGAGATCAAAACCATGGATTTAGTGATGTAGAGAACATGGAATTATATTTCACATGTAGTGAAAGTTTTATGTGTCTTATGTAGTAAAGCACCACATTACACCAAAGCATCTGAAATTTGTACATTAACTGCAGAAACAGTAACTGAAAGTAAACAAGACAAAATATTTTCCAATTCCGTAAGAAAACATTTTACTAAGACTTATGTAACTTACACTACTGGTCTGTTAGAGGATGGAGCCTGCGTAATAACAGTACTAGACGTTGGTGATGGTATTGCCTGCTGAATAATAACACTTGAGTCAGAACTCGTAAGTAGTACATTAGGAACCTGCAGCGACGCTGGACGAACTATTGTTGATGTAGGCTGTGCAGTCTGCTGCAGTGACGCTTCCTGCTGGAATGAAAAAAAGTCATCAGTTTGTAAAATACAATTATAGACCATTAATTCTGACTGTTAAATGAACACAGTTTGACAGAAAAGATCAGGATTTCTATCACATTATGCAAGTAGAATCTGTTATACAATTAAAAACATTCAAAAACACCCCCCTTTGGATGAATAATTTACACAATCAAAGCAAAATTGTTCCAACAGCAGTGATTTTAGTTTATGACAAACCTTGGCTCAACTTATGCTAAGGCTAGTATTATTTACAGTTCAGTTTTGATCAGGTATTAAGAGGTTTTGTGCCAAGAAACCCACAGCACTATCAGCACCACCGTGTCTACCCGCACTCTGAATAAAAAAACCTGTATTTTATGGTGTCTTTATGTACATTTCAGGTTCAGTCCATTGTTCTGGATTTAAACAAGAGAAACAGAAGTTTTATGGTTCAGTAAAAAGGAAAAAAAAATTAAACCAAAACAAAATTTGTCTTTTTTAATAAATCTTTATCATTTTCCATGTATTTCTATTAACTAGAGTGCTACTAAGCTAGAAATACATGAACGGTTACATTCATAGCTTTGCAAAATACATGCATATCCTGATGCATAATAAATTATTTGAGTACAGAAATTAAAATTTGTCAGCTGCATGTAAGCAGTGGACAGAACTGACTAAGGTTCCTAGCTTAGCAATCAAGTAAAGTACCTTATCAATTAGAATGTAGAACCTGCATTTGCTGTTTCTGAAAACCTAGATATATCTTACTGTAACCAATGCCTTCCTCCTCAGGAAACCCTTGATATTGCCAGACTTCAGATTTACCTTCAGACAGGATTTTTCCTAGTTATTTCTTCTTTTGACACTAGCTACTGCAATCAATGGCATATAAAACTAAACTCGTAAGACCAGCAGTATTTAGTTATTCCACTGTTAAACCATAATTCAAACAAACATCTCAGACCTGTGTCCTATAGGCTACATTGATTACCATTTACTGTGAATTAAGCTCAAGTTTTTAAAATACATCCACAAAGCTTTAAGTAGTAAGGTCTTAGTTGTCTTACAGATTGTTTTCATTTAAACATCCATTGCAAAATATGTGTGCTCCTCTGAGCACTTTATAGAACTGTAAGTGGCCTGGCAAACTGGGCTTTAAGAAAGAAAGGACATTAGGCGATTTTCTCCCTTCAGAAGCTCAGAGGCTAGATTTGCCATCAGGGTTCATTAGTTTGTTCAGGCTTTTCCCCAATGGACCTAGAAGAATAGTTACAGCAAACAAGATGTTTTGGAGAGTAACAATGAGCTGTATTGAGGAAAGCAAGAATTTTTTTCCTTAGTCCAATCTGGTGTATTTACAAACGTTATATATGAACACAATACCTAGAATTACAGATGAGCATTCAGTCACAAGAAGATAACATTCAGCATAGAATTACAGAAACAGGAAAAAAAATTAGAGTTGATTAATGCATACTCTTAGGACAGGATTAAACACTGCTTTGCAAATGAGGAATTCGATATAACAGCTATACAGATTTTATTCAGTGAGAAGAGCCATATAAAAACATAAAGGAGACTGAACTACTTGATCGTGGGAAATTAGAGGAAGGCGTAAGGGGAGAATACTTGCCCTGATAATCTTTTGGCAATGGTCAGTTCAGAAATGAATATTGTATCATTCTTCACTGGTTTCAGCTTCACCCTTTCCTGCTTGCTGTTTGCCATTATTACCTGTCTTATTACTGTGAGCAAGGAGCCACAAAGTCCATTCCCACTGTAGGGATCAAACACAGGAACACCGTGGTTGCTGCCAACAGAGGCCTAAGAGCTTTTTTTTTCCCCCCGTTATTCCTTTCACCTGTAACATTCTTACATCTGGCAGCCACATATGTATGTATAAATGTAAATTTAGATATATGAACACCACACAATAAATAGCTATGGCAAAGTAATTCTTATTTCCATGAAAAAGGGATGAAGACTGTTGGCTTAGAGCAGCCATGGAGCCACGCATATATAGCTTTAACAAAAAATGTAAACTAAACAGATATTCACACATTCTCAGCAACAGGAATCCCATCCTCTTCTGTATGGGTTTGTGCCAATGGCTTCTGTAAATACCTGTCTGCGTGGATGGGGAAACAGGTACCAAAATACAGAAGGCCAAGAAGAGAAGTGCTGAGAGGCAGTGTGTGAAAGTCTCCCAAAAATGGATAAATTCCAGAGAAAACCATCCCTGTTGATTTGCAGTGAATCATGAACTCAGAACATCAGATGAATCTGTATGCTAGCATAAACAGGCTATACAATTCACACAATCTCCAAAGCAACAGTGCAAATCATACTGCAAGTATTTCATATCGAAGAGTAAATATCATGCAGTAACTTCCTAATGCTACTAATGAATACACAGAATTCTTTACACAGGAAAGCAGATGACCAGAACTAACAGCATAACTGATTACTACTGTAAGAAAACAACTGGAGTTCTTGACAAGAACTAAGCAACCTGGGAAACTGTTGAGGGTCACCCTTTGAAGTATTGTTACTCAGAAACTATAATGAGCTTGAAAGCTCTCAAAGAATAAATTAGGTTTCATTTGCTTATTATTTTAAGGCTAAAAGGCTTAAAATATTTCTAATAATATCTTGGCCTATTCAAAGCAGAATATCAACTCTTACTGAAGCCTAATAGAACTCCCAGAACTCTCAGAAAACTAGGAAAGTAATTAAGTATGATTTTTTACAAGTCTCTAAGAAATTCCTTAGACAGCTACAAGGAAACTTAGGACTGTCTTGCACATACAGTAATGGGCTGTAATCATTTAAGGTTACCAAAATATATACAGGCAAGAATGTAGTTACAGTGCGCACATATACACATATTAAAACCAGCTATGCCCTGAAAAAAAACCAAACTTCCCTTCTTCAATATGTCTACAGGAGAATATAAAAATCTAACTGAGAAAACAGCAGCACTCCACTCATGTTTCTCAACTTCTGCAGGCCACATTCAGCAGCAGCATACTTCTAAGCAGCACCCTCATTTATGCTCAGCTTGCCTCTACAATCAGACATCAGAACAGCATTGAGGAGCAGCAGCAGCTTTTCACTTCAGCACTGTTACAACACTGAAATTACATCACAAATGAAAGAAGTTTATAAGTACTGCCAAGCATTGAGATATAATTTTCACTTATAATGCTGCTAATGAGATACTGAACCATTACTGTATACAGATATTATCTCCTGCCAAAATTAGAGTATTTAGAATAAGTATTTGCAGCGAAAAAAACAAAACTAACCTCTGAAATAAAGATGAAATAAAAACAGCTTAACACTTGGACTATGATTTGCTTAATCTAAGCAGCTCTTCACATGTATTCCTTTAAACTACTTTTATTATTTTTGAGTCTACATGATTGCCTTGATTACCTATGATTACCCATCCTTGCTAACTAATAAAATACAACAGAGCTTTGTAAGCCAAATCTGAACTGAAACTCTCTTAAATTTCTGTCACACACTTAAGGCTCTTTGCAGGATAAGAGAAGGGGTGCAAGCTGAAACCAGAGATGTACAGACTGGATCCAAAGAAAAACACTTTCACAAGGTCAGCCTGGCATTGGAAGCACTGAGAGGTTGTGCCACTTCCGTTCCCAGAAGTTTCAAGACCAGAATGCATAAAGCCAAGAGTAACTCGGTCTTATAAAAACTGTACACATGAAGAGTCACAAACTGTTGACATTATTAAAAACAAAGCAAAGAAACTGAACCTTCTTTTCTTGTTTATGAACAATGATGCATAAAAACAGTCTAAAGAGCCCCTTCAGCCTTTTCTAACAGAATCATAGAATAGTTAGGGTTGGAAAGGACCTTAAGATCATCTAGTTCCAACCCCCCTGCCATGGGCAGGGACACCTCACACTAAACCATATCACCCAAGGCTCTGTCCAACCTGGCCTTAAACACCGCCAGGGATGAAGCATTCACAACTTCCCTGGGCAACCCGTTACAGTGCCTCACCACCCTCACAGTAAAGAATTTCTTCCTTATATCCAATCTAAACTTCCCCTGTTTAAGTTTTAACCCATTACCCCTTGTTCTATCACCCCAGTCCCTAATGAATAGTCCATCCCCAGCATCCCTATACCCTCCCTTCAGATACTGGAAGGCTGCTATGAGGTCTCCACGCAGCCTTCTCTTCTCCAGGCTGAACAGCCTCAACTTTCTCAGCCGATCTTCATATGGGAGGTGCTCCAGTCCCCTGATCATTCTCGTGGCCCTCCTCTGGATTTGTTCCAACAGTTCTATGCCCTTTTTATGTTGAGGACACCAGAACTGCACACAATACTGAATATTAAATTTTATTTCTTTTCTAGCTTTGCTGGATGGCCAGTGTGAGGCAAAGAAACAACTGCAGCAAGCAGAGCTAACTAAAGAATTAAACAAATGAAGCATATATCCACAGGAACACAGCACATTAAAATTCTTCTCATTTCAACCAGCTAAGTTGTGTGGCTACCAGCATGTAAAATAAACTTACAGATTATGAGAAAATTTGAAAAATACATTCCAAAAGGACAAAAAAAAAAAGGCCTGACCTTTTCATCATTGGTAGTAGACTCAGGATGAGGTAAAGGACTATCTTGATGAGTTGTCTCTACAATGGAAGGTTCTTCAATTTTATTTCTTATAATTGGCGTGGCAAGAGGTGACAGATCTAGAGGCATCTAAGAGCAACAGTCCAAAACAAAATTACTCAATCTCTAAAAAATTAAGATGTGCAAGAAAATGTAAACAACTAAAGAGAAATATCAGCCTTATAAGAACAGAGAGGTGCCAGTCTTTGGAAGATCTTAATGCAGACACATTACCAGTCAAGGCTATTTTTCCAGCATCTGCATGGACACTAATCATCAGTAAACCTTTGTCTTTCAACACAAATGTCAGACCAAGTATTTTCTTCTTGATAATTAAAACCACTTCTAAAGTTTTCCTTTTCCAAGAGTCTCAGGAAAAATACAGTTGAAGAAGGACTATGCTACACACAAAACGAAACAGTTTTAAGAAAGTACTATCCTCCTATAAATTATTATATATCACGAAGGATAAAATCCTAACTATATTTCCAAATTAAGAAAGCTACTCTGGACAATTAATTTCAGACTTATTGCAGCAAGTGGTTATTGGAAATGCAAGTTTATATTACTACTTAGATAAAATCCACCAGGACATCTGAAATACCACAAAGAAATTAAGTTACAAAAATTCTTAAAGCAATACTATAGATTTGGAGCCTCTATTCCTGTCTAGTCTGCTATACAGATACTTAAGGACAAAACTTCCCCAAAAGCTCATCTTCTACTTATGTTCTTCCAGATGTTTTATTTTTTATTCAATTCCTAATTTTCCTACAGAATATATTACTAATGGGCAGGGAATACTGCTGTGTTACAAGTGGGAGCTCTTTTCATATCACAGCTGAATATGATATGCTATAGGAAAAAACTAAATGATCAACCCCTAGAAAGTGTGCTATTATGGTAAATTGTTCCACCCGTTGCCATGACTGCTTTGGTATAATAAACAACCAGAGATATGGTAGGAGTTTATTTCTCCACATAATAAACAGGAAAGTTTGGAAAATAATTATCGATTTTAAAGTAATTGTTAAAATACTGAAAACATTTTGCAATTCCTATAACCTCCTCCAATGCAATGGTGAATTACACAGAAAACACGGTATTAGTAAATCCAGAATTAGTATTACCATATGCAGTGTTTTAAGAACAGTTAGCATACACCAACTTAAAAAAAAAACAAAACACAACATTATTTGGTATAGTTGCAGTAACAAAACAAGGGTGAAGCTTTGTGAGGAATGGATAATCCATCCTATTCACACATACCTATTAAAATTTTTATTAAAACAAAGAAAATGCAGATACTGATTCTGTAAAATCAGTATACATGAATATAAAAATACACTTTTTATCACTGCCTATGGAAGTCAGCCAGGTAATCAACCACAGGCAAAAGTATTCAAAGGGGACACTGAACAAGATTTTCCATTTACAGAAGTGTTTAAATGTTTGCGCCCCATACCAGTTATGAATGGGAAGTACTAAAATAAACAGAAGAAACCACATTTAAATGTATGGGAAGTTCCTCATAGAAACATGAAGTTGCTCAACAAATACAGGCCAAATCTTTCTTATATTTCAATCTGTACATTAAAAAAAAGGCAGATGTTTAGGTTGTGATCAATAATTTCTAGGTAAAAGTGATTTCAACACAAGGTGAGTTATATAATTACTGATGCTTCCTTAAATTTAGTCAATATTTAAATCTCATTATGATGACTACTGATTCTTAGAAAAACATGGGTATTTTAAAACTAATCAAAATGATTAGTGTTCACATATTATCCTTTTGATGTTGGTTTCTTGCAAATATTTTTCTTTCTACAAAAACTCGTTACTTTTCAGACTTATTTTCTGCTTACTCAGAGCCTAACGAAATTTAAATCAAAGCTAATGATTAAAGAATTAAGACAAAGTCAATGTGCCCCACTGTCCCTGCTAACTATGCAAGATTAATCAGGTAAACTAACCTTCAGAAGAGTAATCTTACGTTTGTATTCTCTCCATACAACATATATAAGCAGCTGGCAAATGATTAGAATAGAATCTTAGAATAGTTAGGGTTTGAAAGAACCTTAAGATCATCTAGTTCCAACCCCCAAACTGAACACTGGGTGTTACTGGTATAGTTCAGAAGGCAATATATAAATCCAAAGTTTGGGGGTTTTTTAATGGAAATTCTGATATGAAAAAAGTAGAAATTCTGAGAAGAAAGAGGTTTTGAACATACTTTCTTAATGTCATCTTCAGAAGCCTTTTTAAACTCATTTTCAAATGGACTTGCTAGTTCATTGAATAAGCCCACTTCTTCACAGTTCTTCAAGAATCGAGTTGGTGTTGGTGTCTGATCTGAAATGAAGTGTATAAACAAGCCACAATTTTATTTTGAAAATACTATTTATAAACCTACTTATCGTAAATATTTTTCAGAATAAAAGCAAACATAAAGAGATGACATGGTTAAGAACTCTCCCATGCCTCACAAGCAGGCCCCTTTCAGCCTTGCAGGAAGGCCAACCAGAAGACAGACTCCACCTGCTGGAGACAAACAACTGAAGTTCGCAAAGCAGTAAACCCCTGGCAGTTTTGGAAGGGTATCAAAGCGTGTCTTGTGGCTGTGTCCAGAAACCAGAGGGAGCTATTCTCAAGTGCTAGTCTAACACAGCAGACCAGTGAGCAAACAGGCTCTGTTTTTAAATAAAGGTAAAGCATACATCCGGGCTTTAATTCTAAAAATAAAAGCGCCCAGTTCACAGACAGTTTGCTTCTTTCGTCTTATGTTGTGAAGAAAGTAGTGATTACTTTCAAGCATGTGGAACTTCTGAAAGGAAGTGTGATATTACACACAATTTTGTATTGACTCATATGATGCCTGTGTAGTCAAGCTGGAATCATAAGACTTCTGGTATCTGCAAGACTACTGCATGAAGTAGTTTAAAATAAGTCTTTATACAGAATTTTTTAGTACCATGTAAATTCTGCTTATTTCACTTTATTACCATGTCAAAATTAGCCACATTTGCCACAAAGTTACCTGCATTTAAAATAGTGTAAAACAGTATTACGTGTACCTTACTGATGAAAGCTGGCGTTTACAACTAACAACTGGCTGCAGAGACAGGTGCTGCCATGGTTTCGTTCTCAAACACCTAATTATTTCGTAGGTCCTCTTTCTTTTTGTATCATTGCCAGGGATCACATAGATCAACTTAGCTTTTAACATGTGTAACTGCTAGTTTAAGAGTAACAAGAGGTGTTTTTTTCTGCCTGGCCTTACAAATTAGCCTCTTACAATGGAAAAATAAATAAAAAATCAAAGTGTCTGAAAACCTTTGTTCCACCAAGAAAAAAAACCACAGTCTGACTATAACATCAGAATAATTAGCATAAGCTGTCTTCATTCAAGAACTTTAAAATTTATAATACAATCAGTCATCCATTGGTGACAACTCCTGATCCTGGACAAAGAGAAATAGTTACAACTGACCAAGGGTACACCATGAATTCAGAGGGAGAAATACAGTAAAAGTATTTTAATTTTATGCTAAAATTAAAACAAAAATGATTTTCTTTCTTCTACCATGCCATTTAAAGAATAATTAGCAATTCATTCTTCTAAGTCACCACAGTATGTAAAAAACAGCATGTATTTCAAAATTTAAGAGCCAAGTAATACCAATGAATATTTAAAACTTAAATACAATTTAATCTATCTACAGATCCTGTTAGGCATAGCCTTTATTAGTGTAGTCTTACTGAATGCTTCTTACACAAGTTAATCAATTATTCAAGGATTGATAATTGAAAAACATCTAGCTCATACAACAGAACTAACCAAAAGTTATTTCTGGAAAATAGTACTGGCTTCAGATTCTGACAAAAGCTAATTATGCAAGAAAATATTGCCTAAGCACACATTGCAGACAACTATAGTGAAGAAAATGTTTCATAATCTCTTAACAGAAGTCTATGCATTATGTACAGAAAATACATAAAACATATGCCCATTCCAGCAGAAAAGTGAATAAACTAGTTATAAAAATATATACTAACCAGCCACAATGACACTATCATTACGAGCCGGACCAAATTTCAGTGTCATCTCATGTTTATGTTTATGGACAGCCAAATGATCCTCATTGGTAAAACGCTGCAGCAGAAAGTTTTAAGAAATAGTTGTAATTTTGAGTGTGAACAAAGTCAATACAATCCTACAGAAAGTAAATTTTCAACATGTTAACAGACAACCCTCTTAGGCAGATACACATTGTACCTTGGTCAACAGTACCAAGCAGAAATATTACAAAACTATAATGATGTTCAAAGTAACTAAATAGTAATGGTATGAGGGCAATGGTAATGCAAGTACCTGCATTCATCAAAAGCCCAAGAAAAATTTCAAAGTGCTGCAGACTTCATCAGCTGTTAGCAAACAGACATTTGCTATACTAATGGATCATGATAACGTTTAGCAACTGATTACCACTATTTGATTTCTGTAATGTGCATATTGACACAATAGTGAGAACTGATCTGTAATCACAGAATTCACTGTATTTAACAGCATAAAGTTTAGCTCCTGCCCCTGACCATTTACTGTTTAAAAAAAAGAGACAAACAGAATGGGAAACACTGGAACAACGTCAGTCAACTGAAAAGCTGTTCATGAAATAAACTTATCAGAATTTTTAAAATCCCTTAGGTTTTCAGCAGTATGCAGTTTTCTGCAGATGTGCGCTAGAATCTGGAGTATATGCTATTAAAAACAAAAAAAAGGGAGCAAGCAGACAAACTAGGTACTATAAAACAGATATTCCCGCTTTCACCAACTTGCAATTTGCTATGCCTCTGTAATTGTGAGTAAAGACAGTGTTTCACCTGAGATAATCCAAGAAAACATTTCCCAAGATGCAGGCTTCCTAAAGAGAATGCATTTTATAGAATACTCAAGTTCTTACTTTTCTTTGTGAACAGCTGATTCTGAGACTATTTTTTATTATTTCTCAGTAATTTAAGTCACCCCACACACATCTTGTAACAGATGCACACCAAGGGTCATCTCTCAGAAAACGACACAAAAAGCTTAGGTGACCTCTGAGGACACTCACCCAGAATATTTCTGTGAGAAAGGACATGTATATGTGGAGCTGAGAGGAAAATTCAAAATGCAGGATCACTGAAAGACAGGGTGGTACAGGCCAGGCACTTTTTTTGTTAAAACTCTGTTGCCAAGGGTTCCAAATCCCCAGCTCTCTCTCCATAGCTCTTATGCCTTATCTCTACAGAGAGCATAAACCAGAAACTTTGGTGTTCTACCACACTAAAAGATTCCAGTACATCTTTCTGTCCCACTATGTGACTGACAGATTCCCTCAGAGGGAATGGGACCTCCAGATCCTGACTCCGTGTGTGCTGTAGCACGAGGTAGCACCTGGAGAAACCTTGCAGGTTTTTCACAGACACTAGTTTTTTTCTTCTTCACTGGAATGAAGGATTGCTGTAGCCCCATGATGGATCTTCTATGAGATTTAGTTGCCAAAACACTCCTGAGAGAGCTTACATGGAAACTAGGTTCAAATAGGGTGGGAACAAACATGTTGATTAGGAGAAGGCAGTTCTCTTCTGTTACTTTTGATGTATTTGAACATATTAGACATAATAAGAAATCTTACTCCTCTCCTGCCTTAAATACAGAAGGCTCCATTAATATAAAATTAATGCAGTCATTAATCCTAAAAACTAAGTTATAAGAATAAAATTGAAAATATTTTGAACTCAAAATCCAAATAATTCCAAGTGCACTAATATAATGAAAAAAATACAGCCTGCTCAAGAGATCAATTCTATATAATGGCGGGTAGACATAATATAATGAAGAAAATTAGCTTAAGAAATCAATTCTATATAAAGGATGCAGGGATGACCATTTCATGCAGCAGATATGCAGAACCTATTTTCAGGTTACTAAATCTAAGTGTTAAAGCAGTTTAAACCATGACAGGTCCCTATCAATGTTTCATTATTGCACTTTTATTTTATCAATGTTAATAACTTCAAGTCAGACTATTACCTGGCCACATCCAGGGGCAGTGCATAAAAAGGGTTTGTCATCACTCATATTCCACAGGTCGTTGTGCTACCTTTATTGAAACAAGAATAGAATACATTTTAAAAATATTGCAATGAATTATCAATGCATCAACATTTAGAGGAAATTTTAATATTCCATAGGTAAGAATCTCTGCCTTCTGGCTAAGCTAAGAATCAAATACCGACGATTTAAGTACAGTCTGGATTCCAGACTCTGTCAGGAAAGTACACAAAATCCAATAGACACATGGTAGATTTTGAACACATACCTCAAAAGGAAAGGCAAGTATTTGTACACAACATAAATGAAAACTGAGTAAGCTAATTTGTTACTGAAATTAAAATACGTTATGATAATGATCCAATTACCACAATTTAAAAAAAAAAGAACAAAGAAGCAGACAATACCAAGTGGTCGATTCCTTAGTATTTTCATGATCTTTAAAGCTCACATTTAAAGGTAGGTCAGCAGATAGCCCTTTATGTAAACTGTTAGAAATTTAACTAAACCTCTCATGTACTCCTAGTAATGTTTCAGTTATACAAGTGGATTACCAACAGGCTAGAAACTACTTAAGAAAGAAGAAACATGAACATTTTGTGCTGTTTTGCATACTCACCCCAAATACTAATACACATACCTGCCAGATTTCACATAGAAAACTGTTTCATAGGGCAAACTATCATATCCTCCTTTTCATGGCAATGAACTGTAATTGAACAAAGATATTTATTACTGTGTAAGTAAAACACATAATAACACATGATTTTGTAAAGACAAATGATATAGTGCCCACTATTCACCTATGAAACACAACAGTTTTTCAAAGAAATGGTTTACTCCAATACATCCTCTAGTTAGTTACGGCATCTGTGGTTTCACCCTGGAGGAAATACATTAATCTTTAAATATAAATATTTGTATGGAGGTCTGACAATGTTAGTTCTAAACACTGCTTAGCTTGATGAAGCAAATAAAGATGAATAAAGACGTCTTTATAATTAAAGATCATAAGCAGGATAAATCTATCTCTCCCCCCACAGGCTGGTCATGAAAAGTTGCAAGACTTATGGAAACTGCCTAATCACCCTAAGAATATATTCTTCTGGTACCCCATTCAGCACTAGACACAAGACAAATCAAGTAAGCATAAGCAAACAGATCCATAGGGAACACATTATCTGATCCTTCTGCCTCCTCCTTTACAGTAGAGAACTATTGCATACTTTCTGGATATTACTTCAAGGAGGATAGCCCAGTGTCCTTGGTCATGGGCACTGAATAGCAAAGCAGCAAAATATGGTGTGGAGGAGATTCCTAAGTGACACTGCTAAATATATACCTTCAACAGAATGAGGATAGTGAGCTGAGATCACAAGCCAAGAAGAGATGAATGGGTGCCAGAAATTTTAGAGTCTTTGGCACTGACAACTCAGAAAAATTTACATTCCCAAGGAAAGAATGCCAAAGCAAATCCGGAATGGAGATTGTTCTGCTGTTCTTTGCAAAGAGTTCATAACACGCCTCAAGTTTCTGAAGGGATTAAATATTTCTTGAACTGTTCAAATTATGAACTTGGTACTGTCACCAATACAGTATTAACAAGGTTATGGGCAAGTCTAAATTCTCACCACTAAGGCTTCAGGCCTTAGTCTGAGAAATAAGGCCCTTATCAATGAAGCTTTAGGATTACATCCTTATGTTATCTGGAAATTCAACAGACACTTAAAAACTATCCCAGGAGCTTATTATCCTTGTTCAGCTATGCAACAGGCAGATATTTTAAATGCATATTTAGAACTAAGAGAGTCGTGTCCTTTAGAACTCAGTTTGCTTTGTTAAGTCTTGATCTTGTGATAGCATGTGGTTACATATAGGTACAACATGCACACATGGATACATAATAGGAGCAAAAGAATTACATCTGTATCAAGTGTCTAAGGTTTAATAAACAATTATGTCTGGGTTTTTTTGTTTGTTTGGCCTTTTTTTTAATCTGAAGGGGGAAGATTTTGATGTGCATATAGGGCATTTTCCCCTCACTCTATTACCATAGCTTACTGTCATCTTTTAGTATTTTTCTTAGATCATAAGCTGTAAAGATAATTTTTTCAAGTCTGCTTATGTACTTATTTCAAGTCTGCTTATGTTAAAGGGATATTACTAAAATGCATATGCATATGAAATTGTTACCTGATTTCACGTTTTGGTTTGCAAAGCCTGTGAATATTCAATGTCTGATACAAACTAAAAATCAATCCTTGTGAAAAAACAATGCTGTCCTCCTGGCAAACTTACTGGAAAAAAGTTGGAGATAAATTCATTTCCTGATCTTTGTAATATTGTTTGACTGCAGGCCACAAGGAATTTTGTGAGGTAATGCCTTGTAAAAGGATTCCAGCTAACATCTGAGGGAAGAAAAAAGTACCTTGAAGCACTGAAATTTTTGCATTAAAAGAGAAAGAAGATCACGTGTGCATTCCAGCAAGACCTTGGACATTATAAATGTAACAAGAAAGCAGATCTGACAGCATGGGAAAAAAAGAGCTCACATTTGTTAATATAGCCGAATTGGTAAGGATTTTATTTTCCTATTACAGAGAAATGCAAAGCCTGCACCTAGAATGAAAGAACTCCATGCAACAGTGCAGGCTGAAGGCCAGCTGGATGTCAGGAAGCTTTGGGGCAGAACCTGCAACTCCTTGTGGACAAACTGAACATGACTTAGCATCAGGTCACTTGCAGCACTGAAACCTAACAGCCTACTGGGCTGAATTAGCAAGAGCATAGCAACCAGATGAAAGGAAGTGATTATTCTTCTTTATCTGGCACTCATGAGACTACAGCTGGAGTGCTTGTCCAGATTTGAGCCCCTCAAGACAGATGACAAACTGAAGAGAAACCAGCAGGAACCCCACCAAAATAGGAGGCAGGGCTATTATACAGAAGAGGAATACCAGGAAGCAAAGTTTGCTCAGCATGGAGAAGGAAGCCTAAGGAAGGATCTAATTATGGTATTACACTACCTAATGTATTGCTATAGAGAAGATAGATCCAGACTCTGGGTAGTGTACAACAAAAGGACGAGATGCAACATTCACAAGGCACACTAAGAAAGTTAACAGCAAGTATAAGGGGAGAGGAAAAAAGAAAAATAAAAATCACTCCGTGAGAGCAGCTGAACACTGGAACAGGTTTCCCAGTGGGGCTGTGGAATCTCCATCCTTGGAGATAATAAAAATTTCAGTGGATTAAATTCTGAGCAATCTAAAATAACTCTGAAATTTGAAGTGTACCATAAAGATGCCATAGCCAGAAACAGAGGTGAACAGCCTTTCAGCTCAGCAAAATCTGAGTAACGTTCTGACGGTTTTAGAAGACTTAGTGTGGTTAACTTTACAGCCCAACAACTAATACTATTGGTGCTAGGGAAAAAGACAAACAAACCCCATTCTTTGCCTCCTGTCTTTTGCACTTTTTGTTGCCTGAAGGAATAACAAGACTAACACATAGAAGGCAGATATTCAGAAAGTCGATGATTGCCACTGATTTCAAAAGGCTATTGGAGACTGACTGCTCTAGAAGAGAGTATCACACTAAAAAACAGAAAAATTTGGAAAATATTCTGCCCCTGAAAACCAAAACAGCAACTTAAATGCCATCTTGACAAAAATGCTGCTCACCCAACCAAATGAGAAATAAAGTACGTAAACTGCTAACCTAATTGCTATAGATGAATTATAGCCGCCTTGTATTGTTACCCAGGCAACAGCACACACCTTGTCCCATAGAAAAAAGATGGCTCCTGAAGCAATCCAATCTGAATGTGAAACACCAGCCTTAATTTATCTCTTCAGATAAACTAAACAATTCAGTGCAATGATTCTTACTACAGTCCACTGAACTGCAATTTGCTTCTGTAAGCCTTCCAACCTTAAATTCCTTTCAGTAGCATAAAGACACCCTCGAGTCACATTGAGAAACTGGATCAGTGCTGAACATGGGAAAACCATGAAATAATCTCAGCAATATAATCAACTTTGGTACTTAAATCAGAAAGCAGTATCTCTTTTTTGGTGTTTGCTCTATACTTCACACAAAAGTAGAATTACTTTATCATTTTGTCTATTTAACACGTTGTAAGATTTGCAAACAAATTAACCAACATTTAGACAGCGTGCTTATTGAAAAATAAAGATGTTTTCTATGAAATGACACACTACTGTTTATATAAATGTACTACAAAAATAGCTTCAACAATTATTTGTATATTTTGGTAAGATTTTTAACTGAACATCTTAGGTACGCTTTCTGGAAACTATTACTACACCTTTAGGGCTTGCTTCTAAACTATCTTCCTGTAGACAATTTGTAAAAGAATAGAATCATACACTGACTTTAGCAATGTCTTGTTGACTTACTGCTAAACATTCTTCTGTTTTCTCTTAATTCCCTACATACAGGAACGTGTAAAACAGAACTAACATCGTTTACTTTTTTTTCTATTAAACATTTAAATAGCTGTTTAAAATGTACACATATTGATAAACCTTATAAAACCCCCTCTGAATTTGCTGAAAAAAAATTATTCTTCATGCATACCTAGTAAAGATTCAGCAGACTTCTAGCTAAAGCCTCTACACACTCTACCTGTATCAGGCATGCTGCATGTCAAAAGACCTCTATGCACTAACCTACTCCTGGGATATGCAGTCTTACCCTATAATTACTTATTCTAAGCACTGCAGCAACACCAAGGCTCCCCTCCTGTAACGTTAAAGCTGACACAAACAGCATGGAAGAAAACAGCCTAAACTCAACACAGAAAAGACAGACAACTATAAACACAGCAAAAAAAACCAAACCAACAAACAAAACTGACTACCAAACCAGCTTTTTAATGTCAGCATTCCTCTACTGGCCATCAAGCAAGATGAGAAGCACATTCTCACAAGTGTGTCGCTCCCCCTAAGTCCATAGAGGACAATCTGACAGTCTGCCAGCTACTGTAGTATGCTGATTTATCTACTACTGCCTACGTGTGATACAAACCCCAATTTTTCTGCTAGGCTGACCACCCATATGTGGCTTCAACTCAAGAAACATCTGCGCATTCTGGTTTGAAAAAACAAAAGTTCAACAAAAAATGGTTTAGGCCATTGAGACAAATCAGAATTACAGTAGTCAATCAGCACTGAGACTCCCCCTGGTCTAATCACTACAAAGTGCTTGAACTACAGTATCAGTGATGTCTTTTCCTACGGATGTTTGCTTTTCCTCAAGACCAATCATGTCTATTCAACATTTCCTTTTATTCTTTACATTTGATCTGGAATTGTGACCCTTTTTACTGCAAGATACAAACCCTTACTGTATACAGAATTATTAACTCTTCGTAAGCTTTTTTGTAGTTCCTATCACAGTATGTAGTTGCTATAGGTAGTATAACAATTTCAAGATTTTACTTTAAAGCTGCATTTTTTTTATTGGGAAACTGAAGCACTAACAGGGAAGGTATAGCAATATTTCAAAGTCTTTATCAACTTTAAGGGTTCTACTTGAGGTGCATACTTTTTCAGAGTGAAGTGGACTGAATATATTTGCCACTGTAAAGAATGACACTATCTTAATGATTATCTGAAGAACTGAATTAGTGTTTTGCTTGGCCCCAACAAAAATTTTAATAGATAAGCTTCTTCAGAGGAAAAAAAAAAAAGTAGCTATTTTTGTTTTCCAAATTTAAGCCTTTCACAATTCAAAGAGACGCTTTTCTCATGCAACCAAACAAATCAACGCAAATCAAAACAAACAGGGCACCTTCTATACTTTCAATACGCATACAGCGTTGCACAGCTTAAATTTTCATCACCTTTCACATTTAAGCCTATCTTTATTTCCACAGTTTTCTATAGAGGCAGACTTGCAAGTTCTGCTTTCAGTAAAAAACAAAAGTTAGTATGTCGAATACACCACTTAATAAGAAGCAACATACATAAAAGCATAATTTGTATTTTAAAGGAAAAAACAATTGCTTCACTTACCTGGAGGGACTGGAACAGCTTTTTTTTTCTTTTTTTTCCGTTTCCTATAAAGCAAAAGAAGAAAGATGAAGCAAAAGTGGTGCAATTAATACTTGAGCATTACAGTCCACTTTCAAATGTGTTCTGACTGTATTTGTGTAATGCCATAGAATTTAGAATGCCTAAAAATTAAAACTGAATGATGAAGAGAATGGAGGAGAAAAAAACCTGAAAAATAAAAATATTCTTAAAGAAAGCAGGATCACCAGAAAGGAGCTCAGCAGATTCTGCAACAAAACTTTAAGATGTAGGCCAGAATATTTAAAGGCTGTAAACCTCAAAAACTGGCAAGCAGTTAAACGGGAGCTCCTTCTTCACACTTCACTGCTTAACAGAATGGTTGTGCTATTTCCTAGAAGACACATGACCTGTTTCACAGAGTTCTGGGGAAGAATAAGGAAGAATTTAATGACCATAGCATAATGCTCGTATTTTTTCTTTTAAAAAAGTCAAATGTTGGGCACTTTTTGCTTTGCTATTATTAACTGCTTGTAACTAATGTCTAAAGTTAATTCCATACTTTTCACAGTTTGTCTAAGATTCTATAAAGGGGAGAATATCTGGACAAGATGAAAAGATGCAAGAAGTGAGGTCGATTGACTTAAGTTCAAATAGGAACAAGAAAGTCAGCTGGACAGTCACATGTACAGAAACAAACCAATTAAGCCACTTCCGTTTTGTGGAAGAAGCGGGCTTTTTCCATGTAAAGGTACACTTCTGGTAAACAGAGAGCACTAATGGAAAAAGTTAAAGTCCTCACTCCACTTCCTGTTGACTGAATACGGCAGCTCCTAAGTTAACCCCCTGGCTTATGTATTTTTAAAGGTGCCTTGGTCTTTCTTTGACTTACTGGAAACTCATGTTGTGTGAGCTCTTGGAGATAAGTGAAGGGCCAATAAACCTCAGAAAAAATATACAGGGGTTAATATTCTACTGATATTTTCACAATCTGCTTAGAGACATATTAGGACTTGGCTTCCCCAGATCATTTATCTAGGTTTGAATGTCTTAATTTTGCCCATTAATCTAACAAACATTAGAAATACAATCTCTGTTTCCTACACCACTTTCAACAAATAGTAAAAAAAGCTTAACAAAAAGTTATTTCATTTTTACATTTTTTATATTGCATCCCTGAAGTATAAAATTGAATACAATAATTAAGAATTTAATTAAAAAAAATTTTAATATATCATAGGTATCCCACTACAGGACTTCCACTGCTCATTAAAACAGAATGATTTTTTTTTCCTGTGAGGAATAATACAAATGACCACTGTCATTTACCTAGAAAGGGAAACACAGCATATTGCTTGGAATAGAAAGGAAGCTCCTGTCTGAACTGAAGCTGACTGAAAAGCTCTCAGACTGAACTGAAACTGATGAAGAACAATGCTAGAAACAGTATGGCATAAACTTGGGATTTTTTTTTTGCATAATTATTAAATATTGACTCATATTTCTATCACTATATCAAGTGAATATTATTGATTTGAAACAAATGTAGTTAAGTTATGCAGGGGGACAATGATAACTTGAAATCTATTATTCAAAAAGATAAGTTAGTAGTATTGAACCACGTCTGCTCCTCTGAAAACACCTAATGCCTTATTTTTATCCAGAAATTAAAATTATTTTAAGGAACCATAAAAAAAATTAGAAATAACATATGAATTTTTAAAGATATTAAAACTTCCCAAGCTAAAAAATGGGCCTTTGTAAGTTTAAGCTAATTAATCACTGAAGGCAAAAAAAAAAAAAAAAAAGAACAGCTGATGACAGAAAAGGAATTATAGCCTCAAGAGACACCAAAAATTTAATTAAATGAGATTCAAAGGAATACCACATGTCAGGCTGCCCAACACTTTGGTCACACAACAGAAGTAGAATGAAAACCAAAAGTATTTATAAAATTACGTATGATCAAATGTAAGACCTGAAAGTACATTATGTTAGATGCTGCACAGTCTAGGAGTTTCTGGAAAAAGACATACCAAACATGACCAAATTTCTAGACTTCAAAGCAGGACAGAAATAACAAATATACTGTGAAGAAGAAAAACTAGTTGATTAAGTATTAGCACTATATTAGCACACATTATCAGTATTAAAACATACACTCATAATGGATATTTAAAAAAAGCTACTTCACTCCATGTATAGATTGATTCTTTTATTATTTCAAACTTTTTGATGCGTTATAACACAAGCAGCCCCTGACAAAGGTCCTGTTTTTCAATAAGACAGCTTCCCAATTTTGATTCTGGAATGCAGAATTATAAACACTAAGAGAATTCAAGTGAACACCTAGCAACTATAGTCTGTCTCTCTGAAATTATGTCTGCAACTGGATATCTACTAATAGATGTTAACTTATGTTGCAGTGGAAGGCAGAAGAAATCATGTCTAAAACACTTGTGGAAGACCAGGGCCACAAGGAAAGGTCCTCCTCATTCTATCAGCTGGTGATGAATTCAGCATCTAACACAGACCTAGCAGTATTATGATCTTAACTTCAGCAAGATTTGTTTCTATTAACTCCACCTAGCCTGGGACATGACATTCACTGCCATGAGTAGAATATGGCAAGAAGAAAACAAAATCATTATTTTAAAATATGGAAAAGAAAACAGAGCTTAGCCATAACTTAGGGTCACTATTTCAAAAGCAGCAGATGATTCAGAATTGAGCTTTATTAGAATTTCTGATTCTAGTGCAAGGAGACAGGTGTCAGCATCAGCATCTGAAGATAAAACATCTCTGGGAGAAAGCAACAAATCAGTGACACAGAGTATGTTGATATGACACTGAAACATACTCATGGATTTCACTCCAAGAGAGTGTGATGGATAAAGACTGTAGCATGAGTAAGACTGCTGAAGCAACATGGCAGCACACATATCCCTTAACCCCAAACATTAAGTTGCATTATGACATAAAACATCTGTGCCTAAAACATCGTGCAGCCATCATTGCTTGAGGGTTTATAATGTGTTTTTTCATGTGAAAGCTTAGGAGACCTTTAATTAAGACAACTCGAGAGTCATAATGCACAGTAACAAGCAAAATCAATGGGAGAACCAGTCCAAAAGGCCCACGTCGCTGGCCACCCTCCACATCCCTCTGGTGCGGAAGAGCTGTTCTCATCCTCCCTCCCAACACACCCCACGTCCCCCCCCCCCCCCGTACCCCTCTCAGCACCTTCCGCACAGCACCGAGTACGGCCCAAGATCTCCCTTCACAGCAGATGGATGCAGAGAGAGGCCTGCTTGGAGCTGAGCTGAGTCGGCAAGCCGAGGCCTGGATGCCCCCTTCCTCCCGCACTCCCCCGCCTTCCATCTCCCGCCGCGGGCCGGGCCCCGGGCAGGTACCAGCGATGCCCCCGCGGGGCAGCCCACTTCCGGACGCGGAGCGCGGGGAGCTGCAGCCCCATTCACCACTGGCCTCCCCGCTCCGCCCCGCGCCCTCAGGGTGCCCGCCAGGACCCCTACCTCCTGGCGGGTAACGGTCTCCGCGGCGCCGGCCGGGCCGCCCCGCCCCGGCTCTAGGGGCGGCGGGAGCCGCAGGCCGCGGTGGGGGAGGAGGCTGCCCTGGAGAGGAGCGGCGGCGCCATGTTACTGCCTCCCGGGTATCCCCCGCCTACTGCCGGGGGAGCGGGGCCGCTCCCTCCCCTCCGCCCTCGGTGCGCTCGCCCGCTCGGGCGCCGCCGCAGCGCGGAGGGAGGAGCTGTCGGGCCGCGCCGGGCCGCGCTCGTGTTTACAAACTCACCCCGGGAACGCGGGCCGAACCGCACATTAAAGGCCGGGTCCCCCACAGGCTTCCGTCACTTCTCGCGAGAGCTCGGCTGACATCTCCGCGGGTAGCGGAGAGGGGTGGATCACGTGGCGAGGGAGGGCGGGGCGGAGGGCTGGCCCGCGGTGCCGGTTGGGTGCTGCTGGCGGCGGGCGATGAGGCTGGAAGCGGCCAGTGCCCGGGCGTGGCTGAGGGGGCGTGAGGCGTGTGTCCCGGGTATAGTGCTAACAGCAGCTCCTGCGCCCAGCATGGAGAGCAGAAATGCACCCCTGACCCTGCCAGGGAGCGCAGCGGGTGTGGCTGGCGGAAGACCTCACCGGCCACACTGGTAACGCTGCGGGGGCTGGAGGATTTGTGTAGCTATGCCGGGTGGGGAGCGCGGAGGATGAGGCTCCCACCCTCTGCTGCTGGCTCTCCAGGAGTGCTGCTGCTGCTGCGAGGGGAACGTAGCAGAAAGCGGTTAGAGCCTAAAGCGCTGTAAGGCTTTGCTCAGCAACAGCTCTTGGTGTGCTGGAGACGTCTAACTTTATTATTCCTCATCAGCCCTCTACACCCGTGTACTGGCTCTATTCCTCTGGCTTCCCCGTCTCTGTGCATCACAACTCCCATGTCAGGAGCTAGGTGTGTGCCTGAAGCCAGGGTTCTCCTAAACGTTCACCAGATCTAACACTGTACAATGAAGGGAAGTACGTAAATTTTACAAACGAGGAACTGGAAGCATTTTGCATTAATTAAAAAAACATCATTATATATATGGTGAAACAGTTTAGCCACTATGTACCCTGAATCACAGATGGAAGTTTTAATTCTCTGCCTGTGTATCATCTGGAACTGTCTTGCTCCAAGACTGATCTGAGAGTATGAAAATATGAGTAACAACAACAAAAATATAAATTTTTTAAATCGTAGTATGAGTTCCAGGAAATTACATTTTGTCTAAGTTTCCCTGAACTTACAAAAGACAATATGGTATGTTTCATTTCTTGCAAATTATTTTTGTGCAACAGTTTTGCAAAGTTCTTTAAGATAGGGTGGGATAAAAACCAGTGCGTAAAAGTACATGTTTGCTTAAAGGTGGAATTACTCTTTACTGTGAGCACGTTGCAAAGGGCTTAAATATGAGTGCAGAAAAAGAGGAATAAAGATCATATTTCTTAACAAAGCAACTTAAAGCTGTATGTAAACAAGTATTTTTCAGTGGTTTAGCTCTACCATCACAGGTAACATAAGCCCTGAACAAAAACCTGAACCACAAGTTATTTGCCTTTCTTCATTCTAAAATTGGTGCAAAAAAAAAAAACACCAACCAACCAACACCCCATAAATGGAGTGAAAGCGGGGGGGGGAAGCAAGCAGGATGTATCACTTTTTTACCTGCAGCAATAACTTAAGAGTGTAATTTGTAACACAAACATTTCCTTCATTATACATTAGGATAATGGTATTGTGCTCATCACTTTCAGAGGTGGCACAGCTGCTGGGACAGCAGCCAGCACAGTTATTCAGAGACAATGCAGATCTTTGCTTCAGCTTCAACAATGAAACATGAAGACTCTTTGGATCTGGAGAACCTACAGTACAGATTTTCATGAGCTGACAGTCTTTAAGGTCAGCACAGTCCATGGCAAAAGAAACAAAAAGGTTTCAGGAAAGTGAAACTTATAGCATCACCTCATGGAACTTTCAATCTGTTTACTCTAACCTATGAAAAAAACTTCTTAATGTAAACTTTTAAGAAGTTTGGGTTCAGACTTGAACAGGGAAGATTTAGGTCAGATATAAGAAAATATTTTATTGTGAGAGTGGTGAGCCACTGGCACAGG